TTTTATTGGAGAGGCACTGCTTCAGATAACAACGATTTCAGGATTTCAATAAATTTTATGTGATTTGTGATGATTTTAAGTGATTTACAGAGATTTTCTTGATTTCGATTGATTTTTTGGATATAATTGATTTGCATTGATTTTAAATGATTTTAGGGGATTTTTCAAGATTTTATTGATTTTAAGGGATTTTATGTGATTTTGCTTGATTTCACAGATTTCAATGATTTCTATTGATTTATGTGACTTTGAACAAAGTGTACACCTGATTTCAGGAGTGTCACACCCCTCGGTAATAGTCTAGCTAATTTGAAACGAACTAAATTATCTAGACAAAAATTCTGAGTGTCGAAATGTATTGGAGTGTATTTGGGTCACCCTGTATTTTTAGGCAAAAATGTGAACCCCTACAAACACCAATAGGCATGCATTCAAATTAAATCCTTGTGCGGGTCATGCAGGGCAAAATACAATGTACAATGATAAAAAACTAAATGCAAATGCCATACAGGGTGAGAATGCTTTTGATTAATACCTAATGAATTTTGAGTACAAAAATTTTTAAATTTTTGTCTTTGTATGTTCACAATTTAAAAAAAAGTCATAAATGAATTGAAATAGTTGCCCACTCTTTTCAACGGAAAAACTACTCAACTTCAAAATGAATACCTGCATGTTGTATAATCTAATGAGATTATACTCGCCACCCAATCTCAATTGGTTTGTTTAGAGGTAGATTGGGATTGATAAGTCCTTTTTTTTTATCAGTGTGACTTGCATTACCGCATGGTTGACATGCAATGTGTGTATTATAAAATTTCGTATTAATTATGGATAAAGTACCCTTGCTGGTTCAAATAGATGATGAGGACGATGAGGTGTAAGTTTACATTGTTTATTTTAGAAACTCATTAAACGTGTTTAATGAGTTTAACAAAAAAAAGTCAAAAACACATGGTTTTTATTTTTCTAATGTGATTAAAGGTAAATTTAATAAAAGAGATAAATTATTGTTATCGTTAGTTGTTAATATTTTAATAATTACCGGATTTATCTAATATTTGAGAAATTCCCATATTGTGTAATTATCAGATCTTTGGGATAATCCCATCCTCCGAATATTTATTTTCCCTTTGTCATGTCTGTATTTTCTTTATTTGTGATGTCTTGAGAGGCAATTTTTACTTCCAAGTTTGTCTCAAATTATTTCTTTTATTATGAGGTATGGACGAAGACCTAATTAGAATAGGGTACTTGCATGGAAAATTAAGTTGATTATTGTTTATTGCAAACTGTAGGAAAGCGAAAAAAAATCGTTACTTTTTTTTTATTCCGCCCAAATATGATTATTCCGGAAGTTATACAAATATTAAGTTTTGTATATATAGATATACTGAGCATGTGCAACGTCACTAATTTATATGATAAGTGACGTAATAGGCAGATTTCATAGCGTTGTATCTCCGTCAATTTTTGACTTAAGAAGAAAAAGAAAAAACACGTGTTGACTTATTTTTCATGGACTATCAAAATCAGCAATAAAAAAATTTGATTCAAGGAGCCTATTAATTAACTAATTATCATTTTTAATGTATCAATGACTAGTGTTTTGAATTTCAAGTGTGACTTAAAGGATGTATTTTTGAATATTGATAAGAATACTAACTTATCTAACAATAGGTTTTTTGGGTTTGTTTATTGATAATAAACTTAAATCCATTTCTGTGGAGAATCTTTGTACCAAATTATCATCTGGGTTCTATGCCATAACTGCACTAGTGGAATCCCACTTGATTTGTTTCTGGGTAAGCTATTCAGGCACATAATTCAAGTCTGTGTTTGTACTTCAAAAACGTAGAATTAGATACTTCTATGGTGCCAAGCCTTTTGATTCATGCAGGACATTATTTATTTTTTGAACAAAACATTATTTATTTTTTTAACAAAACATCTTGACTCTTCCTTCTATCTTTGTGTTAGAGTCTGTATGCCTGATGCACAAGAAATACTCCAATGTTCGCATCCCTATATATTGGTCAATATCAGAAGTTCTTTTACCATTATTCTACCGATTCCGACAATTCACTCACATACAACATTAAGAAACTTTCAAGAAACATTTAAGAAACTATTTAATCATCTTCTTCTGGATTTTACAGTGTGGAGGAGTATTTCCTACCGAATTTGTCTTAGTTTGGTTTATGAATTTTAACGGTATTTCATAGCATTTGATAGTATTAGTTTTATTTTTACAGCTTTTTCGATGAGACTTTAATGTATGTATGTATTTCTTTTTGATACTATATTTGATTAGATTAGATTTGATATAGTCGCTAGCTTGATGGATATAATATCTTATTTTTATTTTATTTTATTTATTCAATATACGGGTTCACCCCTTCTATTACAAAACATTATCACTGGAAATGAAATTCCAGTTATCTCAAAATTGTGAGTATTTACTAGTCTCGAGAATCTAGATAAAGGGCTGTTATATGTATAATTGCTAGAATGATATGGAATGTGAAACAAATTGGTACTACGAGTGTTCCGTGAAGGAACCTTGAAGCATATCTGTTCGAGTAGATCCGGACAGTCTATATCACCAGACACTAACTTGAAAATGGTACAAAGGTGACAAGAAATTTGATCAGACTTGAGACTATTAATAGATAGGATGTTTCACATATTTTCATCCATTGATCTCGATTAATTTGGATTCTAAATCCACAATAACGTAAAAATTTATTTTGAACAGATTCAAGCCTGTCTATATGTATTTGATAAATAGGGGCCCAGACTGGAGAGGCATAATTTAGTATAGTTTTCATCAAAGAAATATATAAATGACGTACAGTTGGAACAGAAAAATTAGAACAGTTACGCAAAACAAACCCCAGCCTAGTGAATGCCCTGGATGATAACGCATTTATGTGAGGAACCAGACATTTGGCTGTCGAAAATAACTCCCAAATCAGGTATTTTGTCTACTCTATTAAGAGATGAATTATCTATATTATAATTGAAAAGTATTGGACTTTTACTTTTAGTGAATGTAATACAGTGACATTTATCAATGTTTAGCGACATGTCATTACTCTTGGATCACCCTTTAAGCATATTCAAGTCGTGCTGGAAATTAAAACAGTCACCGACATTATTTATCTCTGAGTATATTTTGAGGTCATCAGCAAAAAATAAAGGCTTACAGAACGTAAAGCATTTAGTTAAGTCCATTATGATAGTACAAAAAGTAATGCACCCAAATGAGACCCTTGAGGCACACCTGACGTAGGTGAATTTTCTTGTGAACAGAAATTATGAATTTTTATTAGTTGCACTCGTCCTGACGAATAACTTTTAAGCCATTCTAATAAGTTTGTGGGAAACCCCGTTGCCTTTTAGCTTTGCCAGTAGAATTGAGTGGTTAACACTGTGGTTAACACCTATGGTTAACACGATCAAAAGCCTTACTATAATCTGTATATATTGAGTCTATTTGTGACAAGTTAGCCAATGATGAAAGAATGTCTTGCTCGTAGACCAAAAGGATACTCACAGTAAATCTTTGGGGTACAAATCCATGCTGAGATGGATCAATAATACTCCTACAATGCCACTGTAGATAGGGTATTAGGAGCTTTTCAAAAAGTTTAGGAACCGACGACAAAATACTTATTGGCCGATAATTCTTAATATCATGTCTGTCCCCAGTCTTAAATATTGGCAAAATGTAGCTAGAGAACCAAACTACTGGAAACTTGTGTTCTGATAATGACTTATTAAACAAAAAATGCAGAGGCTTAGCAAGAGAATAAACACATTTTCTTAAGAAGAAAGGTGGTAGCTTGTCCGGACCTGAGCTGAGTTTGTTAGGCAATGATTGTATTCCAATGAACACCTCTCGTAAACTAAATTTTATTTGCCCGATATTCACAACTTCAGTTATATTAGTATCATTAATATTAAAATCAGTGCTAGAGTTATCACTATAACAGTTTGAAAAATGAGTAGCAAAAAAATTTGAAATATCAGAACCATTCGAAACTGTCACATTGTTGAGATTCATGGTAGAGGGAATGCTGTTTTTTGACCTGAATTAAACCATTTCCAAAAACCTTTAGGGTCGGTATTTATATTGTTCTCAGTATTAGCTATATAATCCCTATGGCATGCATCAGATAACTGTTTACACCTAGCTCAAAGATTACTAAAATGTAAATAATCATTTTTATTATTGAATTTTTTATACTGGGTATGTTATCTGCTGCCTTTTTATCTCTAACAAGCTGTCTTAGTTCTCCAGTGAACCATACAGGAAAAGACGAAGAGGTTTTTCTCTTAAGAGGAACAAATAGGCTGATAGCCTGTTCTAATATTGCATAAAATTTTTCGTTTACAGTGTCAATATATCCCTCCAGTACTAATTCTCAATTTATAGGAGCCAAAAAACTATTAATTCCAATATAATCAGCTCTAGCAAAGTCTCTATAAAACTCCAAAAAATACAGTTCTCCGTTCTCCCCAACTTGAAGTGTGCAGCAGTAACTCCTATGATGATAACTATCAGGAAAAAGAGCATCATCAGCTATGTTGATGCAAAAATCAAAGTCCCCGGAGCAAAAAATTAAATCCAAATATTTGTTGTGCGGGTTTGGGATATGATTCTTCTCACCCTGTTTATTGTCTCTCTTATATAGGTAGGTACTTAAGCAAAAGATACAATACCTTCACGTTAGGATGTACGGATAAACATGGTTCATTATTAGAAAAGAGGTATAATAATCCAATATATGTAGGTGGAAGTATTCAAGATGTTGCCACCCTGTGTATATTTTTTTAATGAACATAATTTTTAAAAATATATCATCATTACTACTTGAAGCCACATTTCATGTCATAAAGGTAGTTTAAAAATTCTACAAAGTTACACAATCAAAATCAAAAATGAAAATGTTTCTTCGTATACATCAATTTAATCCAAATTCTTTTCCTTCCAGAAACACCTCTGACAATTTAGGATTCAAACCCCTAATCGATCAATCCCACTTGGAAAATGAACCAACGCCCAGTATATCTCCTACAGGAGACTACAAGAGCCCATTCCCTTACAGTACTGACAACGATGTCAGTATCACCACACAAATTAACATAGTGGGCATGACTTGCCAATCTTGCGTTAGAAGCATACAAGACAATATTGGCAACAAAAAGGGTATCCTTAGCATAAAGGTAAGAATTGGTTTTGTCTCCTATGTTTTTTTTTAATAACCTTTTCAGATCAGTCTTCAAGAAAATACAGCTCTAGTTACCTATGACCCAAAAATAACAAATGCTCAAGAAATATGTGACTGGATTGATGATATGGGGTTTGAGGCCTCATTACCGTCAATCAGTAGTAGACAAAATAGTGGTTTGAGTGAATGCCGGGTGCACATAGATGGTATGACTTGTAATAGTTGTGTGCAAACTATTGAGGGTAAATAAATTTGTTTTAAATTAGAGCAAATAATTTTTTTTGTATATTTAAGGTATGCTATCTACTGTGAGTGGCATAACTTACGTAAAAGTAGACTTAGGAGAAAAAGAAGGCTTTATACAATTTTTACCTGACAAAATTAATCCTAAATCTATACCGGAGCAAATTGAAGACATGGGTTTCGAAGCTTTCATCAAAAGCATCAACGGAAAGCCTGTTAAGAAACCAACTTCATCTCCCCTTGCCAATGGAAGCACAAGCAAAGACATTTCGGGATTCAACTTAGAAAAGTGCCAAATTAATATCAAAGGAATGACCTGTGGTTCTTGTGTAGCTGCCATCGAAAAACACGTACAGAAAATATCGGGGTGCTATAAGATTCTTGTATCTTTGCTCGCGGCCAGAGCAGAGGTGCAGTTTGATCCTAGTATGGTGACTCCGCCAGATATAGCTGCTTCGATAACGGAGCTGGGGTTTCCTTCTACTGTTATGGTGCAGTCTGGAGCTGGACAATCCGAAGTAAGTGAATTTATGATACAGATTATATCAGAAAGTATTAATCATATGCCAATCTAAGCTTGGATCTTGGCTGTCCCAATCTTCTTGCTATAAACTTTTAGATTTGAGTCAATTTTTTGGCCAACTGCTGTCACTGTGTTAGAGGAGCTTTGGTCTTCGGTTGCCAATTTTTTTGTTTATGACTGATCTCAATGTTTTTATGGTGAAATTCTGACCAATGTTCCTTTTCTGTGGATCTGGCCATGAGCTAAGTTTTAACCCTGTTGACAGTTGCCCAATCAATTTCAGATTTTAAATAGGATTCCTCAATTGATTTGTTTATTTTAACGGCCTTGGTTTGAGCAGTCTGGATTCAAGAACCAGATATTTGTCCTGTTTCAAATTTTGCAAAAAATCCCAGAGTTTAATATAAACATTAATCACAGACAAACATCCATCATACCAAAATTCCAATGAAGAGAGGAGTTATGACTGTAAATCGAATGTTTAATGTCAAGTCAAACATTTCAAATAACTTCATTCAAATATCCATAATTCCATGATAAATGACACACTAGATGCTTAGCTTTTGGGGAGGGGTCTGATTTAATAAATCAAAATGAAGACGGTCTTTTATCTACAAGAATGACACTGTCTGGTTTAAAGATCTGGGTAGGTAGAATTGAAATGAGATGACATTTTGAGAACTATATTATGTCTTCAAAGAAAACTGGAAAGTCCTGTGATAAACATATTGATAATTTTGGCACTAATGCTGTAGCTGTAAGCTTGGCAAAAACTCTTGATAAACAAACACATTGATTTCAGGCTGATATCGAAATATTTGGTATGACTTGCGCCAGCTGCGTGTACAAAATAGAAAGCAACATTATCAAAGTTCCTGGCATATTGAGCGCACAAGTCGCCCTTACCACACAACGTGGCAAATTCAAGTACGATCCCGAAGTTACCGGCCCTAGGAGTATTATCGAAGCTATAAATAGGTATGTATAGAAATCCATTTTAATTGTGTTGCAAATGTATCTCTTTAGAAACTGGCGGATTTCAATAGAGCCTCCATTCTTCAACAACGAAAATTGTATTTTTAGTTATTCCTTGGGTAATTTATACCGTGTAGATCCTGTAAGGACAAATTAAAAACCTCCAAATTTTACCAGTTGATGTAGAAACTGGATTTTTCAAAAGACATAATAATTATTGTTGAGATGAAAGTTTAAATTCTTTTGCAGTCTGCCTATTTTTAACTAGAAAAATATTTATATATTATTCAAATTTCAGGTTGGGCTTTGAAGCAAAACTTTTTACAAGAGAACGCGACGATGACAGACTGCTACAAAAAGACGAAATACGCAAGTGGAAAAGAAGTTTTCTGTTTTCCTTGGTATTTGGCGGACCTTGTATGGTGGCCATGATGTACTTTATGATTGCCATGTCTACTGGGAATATGTCGCATGAAGACATGTGCTGTGTAGTACCAGGTAAGAATGATATATTATAGTTTCACTAGATTCACATTAGCACATTGCCATTGGTCATTGTTCAAGCATATTGTCTGGCCAGTGAATCTGAAGCTACAAAAGGATTTCAGACGAAAATGTGCGATGTTGCTTCCTTCCGTAATCTTATCCTCCCATCTAGAAATATCGACTTATAGTATATGGAAATATCCAGTGACGGAGTTTCAGTCATTGTCGATTTTCGAATGTACGAGTTACAATATGATATACTTTCAGAAAATTCCGCCCGCAGTTGGGTATCTTATGAATGAAATCTGCCATCTTTTTTTACAACTGCATTCCTCTCACCAATGCCTCGAAGCTTCAGATTCGTTGGCCAGAATGTACCTAATTCAAGAAATAACACTACAATACCTATTTGGATTCATAACGCAAAAATTACAGTTAAATTTTTTAATCCATTCTATCTATCCCTTGATTCTTATTTCTTACTAATGTTTTTTCTTTGTTTCAGGCCTCTCCCTCGAAAATCTGATAACATTCACTCTCTCCACCCCCGTACTTATCCTAGGAGGTCGTCATTTTTTCATACAAGCCTACAAAGCCCTTAAACATCGCACAACCAACATGGACGTCCTTATCGCCATGGCCACTTCCATTTCGTACATATACTCCGTCATAGTGGTCGCAGTCGCGATGATTTTACAGCAAAAAACATCGCCGCAGACCTTTTTTGACACCCCGCCAATGCTGTTAGTGTTTATAAGTCTCGGTAGGTGGTTGGAGCATATAGCCAAAGGCAAAACTTCCGAGGCTTTAAGTAGGCTCTTGTCCTTGAAGGCCACCGATGCTGTCGTAGTTATTTTAGGCGAAAAAGGCGAAATAGTTAGCGAGCAAAATGTAAATGTCGATTTGGTGCAGCGAGGAGATATTTTGAAAGTCGTGCCAGGTGCTAAGGTCCCTGTAGACGGAAAAGTTATACAGGGGCAGTCGATGTGCGACGAAAGTCTCATAACTGGAGAAAGTATGCCAGTACCGAAGAAAATCGGTAGTTCTGTCATAGGGGGTTCGATAAATCAGCATGGATTGCTGATATTCAAGGCTACGCACACTGGGGAGGCAACCACCTTGTCGCAAATAGTTAAATTGGTGGAGGAGGCTCAAACTTCTAAAGCTCCTATACAACATTTAGCTGATAAAATTGCAGGGTATGAATTTAGATCTTCCGCCGAACTTAGAAAACTGAAAGCAAAGATTAATAATTGATAATTTTTTTCAGATACTTTGTTCCTGCTGTAGTTGCAGTCTCATTACTAACCCTCATAATTTGGTCCATAATTGGTGCTATTGATATAAATAAGTTGCCCATAAGTCCATCGGAAAAAGAAGGTTTCACCAATACAGAAATCATATTACAATTTGTCTTCAGATGTGCTCTAAGTGTTTTGGCAATAGCTTGCCCTTGTGCTTTAGGTTTGGCTACACCTACCGCTGTCATGGTAGGAACTGGTAAGTTTTTCGTCTTTTTTTCTTATTAATTAATTAACCTTGAATCGCTTTTTATTAGGTGTGGGTGCTCTAAATGGAATCCTAATAAAAGGGGCGGGTCCCTTGGAAAATGCCCACAAAGTAAACGCCATTATGTTCGATAAAACCGGAACCATTACCAAAGGTACCCCAGAAGTGGCCAAGATATGGATGCAAGGCGACAGTTATAGTCCGGCTCTGATATTAGCCGCTGTGGGGTGCGCCGAGGCCAATTCCGAGCATCCTCTAGCTGCGGCCATTTTGAAGTACGCCAGAGACGTATTGAACTGTGATATTAGTGGAAATAGTAGTAATTTTCAGGTAACAGGTTTGACAAAATATTATTTGCAATAATTGAGTTATGAAATAAAATACCAGCTAATGTTTGTTTTCTTAGGCCGTTCCTGGTTGCGGTCTTCGATGCACCGTCTCCGACTTGTCTTCCTGCATTAAAAATGCCAAAAACAGCGTCGAATTATCTAGTTTTTCATCGCTCCTGTCTGCTGGCAGTACAGGTACTTTTAAAATCAAGGGCGTCGAAGTGGAAGTGTATCAGTCGCCTAATTTGCGTCTAGGACATCTGATTGGAATGGGGGACGCGCCTGAGGATACTGGATTGGGAAAGTACAACGTTATTGTAGGTGAGTTCAATTATTTTTCTGTGATTGTTTGAATAAAAATGAATTAGAAAAGCAGTGTAGATGTGGAGGAAGACATACCAAACATTTGTTTTGGTCAGAAATAGGGATAGATTGGCAAAATCGTGTAATGTAACATTACTAATTAATACAGTTCTTCACAATTTACTACGGAAAGTTTTTGAGGAGAATGACGAAGTGTTTGTGAGTGACGATTTCAACCACCTACAGATTTGTTGGAGATCTCTAAGATTGAACAAACCATGTCAAAAAAACCATGATTTTCTAATGTGTTACAAAGAATGGCGATGTCATCAAGTTGTAACCTTTGATACAAGATTTAGAAACAATCGAAGTTCTCTACTGGATCTTTTCCTGACAAGCGACAAAAAAATGATGTCATTGATAGAGGCTAAAGCACCACTTGGAAAAAGCGATCACATCACTATTGCGGGTATAGTGCATTTGAGATTAAAACAAAATACAACAAAGAAAATTATAAAAGCGAAACTTTCACATTGCTAACTACGAACCCATTAATAAGAACTTAACAGGAGATATCGAACCAAGTGTCAAGAAGTACGAAGCATTTGAAAGCATTTTGACAACAATAGATATTTTGTTTCCTGAGAAATTATGCCGGACCAACGTCCAAAAACCTTATTTGAATGCATTCATTTTCAAAGAAATTGACCTCAAGAGGAAATTATGGGACAAATATAAAAAACAGAAATCAGACCAAAACTATATAACATACAGGACACATAACAACAAACTGAGATCTATGATCAAGAAGGCAAGACTCAAATATGAACAAAACATCCTAGAAAAGAATGATAAACACTTTTACTCTTACATAAAAAGAAACCTCAACAGTCAATTACACGACGTAGTATTGAAAGACCCAGTAAATCAACGAATAATTGATGACCCCAGCGAAACGGCAGAGACATTAGCCAACAAATTTGAATCTGTTTTCACCAAAGAATCCTTCCGCAATTTTCCGACGATGCCAGAACAAACACGTAACCGAAATCAAATAAACAACAAGATTATCACACCTGAAGAAGTATACGAGGCGCTAAAGAAGCTAAAGACCTACTCGAGTCCGGGACCCGACGGAATACCTGCCATTTTCCTAACAAGATGTGCGGAATCCCTAACACCTCTATTAGTGAAAATATTCAACAGCTCGCTAACAGAAGGCATCTTACCAAAAATTTGGACCCAGGCTATCATAATCCCAATTTTTAAGAGCGGAGACAAACATCATCCTGCAAACTACCAACCAGTAAGCCTGACATGCACACTCTGTAAAGTTATGGAAAAAATACATGCAAAAGATATCACAAGTTTTCTACTGGAAAGTTCTATTATTCCAGCGTCACAACACGGATTTCTACCACAAAGATCAACCACCATCAACCTCTTGAATTGTGTAAGTTGTTGATGAAGGCAACTCAGTAGATATAGTGACTTTCAAAAGGCTTTCGACACTGTTTCACATCAAAGACTTCTCCACAAACTTGACCACTACGGGCTTAGAGGATCCTATCTTCGATGGAGTGACTCCTTTCTTGAATGTAGAAACTACGCAGTCAGGGTCAATGGAATCTGTTCAGAACTACACCCCGTAAACAGCTATGTGCCGCAGGGATCAGTGTTGGCTTCTATCCTCTTCATACTCTATACGGGTGATTCAAAAGTAAGCGGCATCCTTTCGGGGACGTATTCCTTGCATAAAAATAAGACAAAAAGTTCCTATTAACATGGGTCCGGAAATGCTTCCTAAGGGAGTTACGTCCCTTCGAATAGGACACCTGAAAGACGTATTTTTCTCTATAACTTTAAAACCCTTCACAAATGGTTTTTGAAAATTGGTGTATTTCATAAACATTTGATGGCAATTGAGATACTAAATAGAAAGTTCAAAAATTTTAATCAGTGGCGTCACATACTGGGGAGGGTGAGGGTTAAAACATCCCTATTTTTTTTACTCGTTAGGTTTTTGCGATTCTGATTGAAAATTCAGAAAGCTTACAGTTTTTTACACAGAAAAGGTGCTGTTGGTTCAATTCGATACAGCGTACCGTTTACGAGAAAATTGACTTTGAAATTTTTTTGATTTGTGTATGTTTCGCAAAAACCTGACGAGTAAAAAAAAAATAGGGATGTTTTCACCCTCCCCAGTATGTGACACTGATTAACATTTTTGAATTTTCAATTTAGTATCTTAATTGCCATCAAATGTTTATAAAATACACCAATTTTCAAAATCCATTTGTGAAGGGTTTCAACGTTATACAGAAAAACACGTCTATCAGGTGTCCTATACGAAGGGGCGTAGCTCCCTTAGGAAGCATTTCCGGACCCATGTTAATAGGAACTTTTTGTCTTATTTTTATGCAAGGAATACGCCCCCGAAAGGATGCCGCTTACTTTTGAATCCCCCTGTATAACAGACCTAACCCAAAGTTTAAAAGTAACTCAGTATCCTTTGCAGATGACAAAAAACTCTTCTGCAACCCATTGAAGCAATTGGATCAGTTTAAAGAGGACCTCAGTACAATCAAACGATGGACTGACACGTGGTAGCTGAATCTGAATCTGAGCTAGAAAATGTTAACCAACAAAAAGATTTGAGCATGCATGTAAGCCAAGATCTTAAATGGGAAACACACATAGGCCGAGTTGTGAAGAAAGCGAATCAGTTGGTGTACCTAGTTAAAACGGCTTTTACCAATCACTCTATCCAAATGATTGAAAAAGTCTATACAACTTACATAACGCCCAAACTTGAGTACGCACACAGTCTGGAATCCATACTACTGCAAGGAAATACAGCTGTTTGAACGTGTGCAACGAAGAATCACAGAAATCCCAACTGAAATGCATAATCTTCCATATGATGCAAAGATTTTGCTTAACAACTCTGAAAGAAAGAAAAGAAAGGGGCGACTTAAATAGAGGCCTTTATGATCCTGTATGGACACTACTTCCCAGAACTGCATATGGCAGACATGTTTCAACAAAACATGAATAAAAACCTCAGAGGACACGACAAGAGGTTCAAGAAGGAGAAAACATTCTTAGCGTTAAAGGGGGTGTGCGCCAAAAATTAAAGTTTTAGTGTAAAAAAATCCAAGAATAACTGTTCAAACCTCGTTATTCTACGATAAACCATCGCTGAGATATACCGCTTTAAAGTGTGGACGACGCTCTCGTGACGTCACGAAAACTTCGTCCAGCGGTACTCTGCATCGTTAATTTGATTGTTCCAGGCACGCGTGAGTGGTTTTTGTTTAGATTATTGCAGGTAACACAGGAAAAATATTATGTAAATTTAATTAAATCCACTTTCTCGTGCGTCGCTTGAGCTTTCGTGACGTCATAGGGTGAGATGCGGTACCTTCATAGAGCCATATCTGCGGTATTATTTGTCATAGAGGGGTGCGGATTTCACTGTTATTCTTAGATTTTTTTTCTCTTTTTTTTGAGATGAAGTTGTTTTTTTGGCGCACATCCCCTTTAAGAGAAAACTTCTTATGCAACTGCGGTGGAATGCATTAAACCAAGAAACTATAAACGCGCCAAACAAAAACATTTTCAAGAATAGACTGGATCGAAACCTATCTGAACTTAACTCCATCCTAGTGCACTACTTCTAAGCCCAAATAAAAGAAATGAGATTGGACAGAGAAGATACGATAGACTCATCGTTGTCAAACCGCTTTCTATTGTCAAGCAAATAATAATAATAACCATAATAATAATAATATTATCTGTAAACTGTAATCGGTAAAGCATAGGAAACAGCGCCAGTAATTTAACTAAAAGTATAACAGACCATCATTCAAGAATTAAGACTGAAGTTTCTCTATTTCTGTTAAATATTCAATCTTCGCGAGAAAAATTAGATGAACTATTTGTTTTGGTGAATGACCAAAAATTACCAAGTTTTGTTCTTTTAACCGAGCACTGGTTAAAGGATGATGAATTGTGTTTTGTTCCACATTATGGGGTGGTTAGTAAATACTGCAGGGAAAGTGGGTACGGAGGAACAATGATTTTGGTACATGAAAGCTTTTCTGATGAATTTGAAACTGAAAGCTTAGACTGTTATAATTTTCTCGCCAAACGCAACGAATTCGAATTCTGTGTAGTGGTGGTAAAAAAACTTAACATTTATATAATTTGTGTGTCCCGCCCTCCCTCAGGAAATCCTTATGATTTTTTGAGTTCCCTGGAGCTATTGTTGTCCAGATTCCCGCACGCTGCGAGGCTTATTCTGGCAGGTGACTTGAATATTGACTTCGAAACTAAAGATTCCATGGAAATAAAATCCTTGATAAATCTATTAACGTGTTTCAACCTTAAAGTATTTGTAAATGAGCCAACACGTATAACCAATCATTCAGCGAAAACTATCGATTATATATGCAGTAATATCGAATGCAGTGATCTTATATGTACAGTATTGCCCTCTGGTATTTCTGATCATGAAGCTTTGTCAGCGAAAATAATACTTTATCATGAAAAGCAAAAAAGACTTAGTAAAAAATCAAGAGTCTTCAGTACCAAAAATTTTATAACTTTCAGAAGTTTGGCTGGGAGGATAAATTGGGACAACATCAAGAATTCTAGCAAGCCAGTCGAAATATTTCAGGAGAATGTGGTCAATATTTTGAATAAAAGTTTTCCCCTAAAAAATATCAAAACAAAAACCAAAAAATTATGGGTCACAAAGGGTTTGAGAGTTTCGGGCAGGAATCTCCGTTCACTGCATACAATCAGAAAGTTTACAACTTCTGAGTGGTTTCTTAATTACTTCGCTTTATACCGTAAAATATACAAAAAATTAATAAAAATCGCAAAGGAAAAGCACTACGGTCGGCGAGTGTCTGATGCAGGGAATTCAACTAGAGAATATTGGAATATAATAAATGAACTGCGTGGTAAACAATCAAAAGCCTCCAAAGGTATAAATATTAAGCCTGAATATTTGAATGACTTCTATTGCACAGTGGCCAGTGAATTGAGGAAGAATCTTAAGGTGACAAAAAATCCACTTGGTTTCTTACCTGCATTCTCTTGTGCAGAAAACTTTCAGCTATTTCCGACGGACAGAGATGAGATTTGGGGGGTCATGACCGGCATAAAAAAACAAAACTCATCGGGAGTTGATGGAGTGTCTTTGAAACTGCTTAGATATCTTCCAGTTTCTGCACTTGATGCTCTTACTGACTGTGTGAATCATTCATTTGAAATGGGTTCTTTCCCAGACTGCTTGAAGCTGGATATAGTTGTCCCTGTCTTTAAGGGTGGAGAAATTAATGATCCGTCGAGTTACCGTTAAATATCCTTGCTCACAACACTCTCAAAAATTATTGAAAAAATAGTTAAGAAAAGGCTAGTTGATTACCTGAAAAGGAACAACATTTTAACACCAGATCAGTTCGGTTTTCAAGAGCAAAAGGGAACAAACGATGCCATTTTTTCCTTTATGGAGAGGCTTTTTCTGGGCCTTTATGATGGAGAGAAGGCTGCGGCGGTATTTTGTGATTTCTCTAAAGCTTTCGATTGTGTAGATCACGAAATACTGCTGCAGAAACTGAGTCACTATGGGATAAGGGATGGGGGGTTGAGATGGTTTAGGTCGTACCTTGCGGAGCGCAGTCAGCTTGTAAGGATTGTCAATTGTGAGGACTCGGGGTTGCAAAAGTTAACTCACGGAGTCCCGCAGGGTTCTGTGCTTGGTCCAGTACTATTCCTCCTGTATATTAATGACTTGGCTACTTTGAGAATATCTGGATCATTCACCATTTTTGCAGATGAGACGACCGTATTGTGGAAACATAAAAATGAAATCCTTCTTAGTCAGATAATCGAAAATGACCTTTCAAGGCTTAAGGAATGGTGCGATTCAAATCGACTTGTGTTTAATGTTTCGAAGACCAATATTCTCACCTTTAAATGTTCCCTTGAAAGTATAATGCTTCACAAATCCACATTGAAGAGCGGAGGTGCGGTCAAATTTCTTGGTATGCATATTGACTCAAAACTCAAGTTCGATGTGCATATCGATCAGCTGAACAAAAAATTAGCTCAAGGGTGTTACATAGTGAAATCCATTATGCAAGAGCTAGGGAAGCGTGCAGCGAAATCTACATACTATGCACTAATCGAATCAAATTTAAGATATGGCATACCATTCTGGGGTTTTTCTGGGCAAAGCACAGTTCATTCGGTTTTCAAATTACAAAAGAGAGCACTCAGGTATTTGTGTCGGGCTGGCTGTAGGCAGAGCTGCAGGGCACTGTTTGAGCAGGTGGCTGTTCTAACTGTTCCGGGTATTTTTATTTTGGAGACGTCTTCATTAATTTTTAAGAAATTTAAGGGTAATTCTAGAGAAACACATTATAATCTTAGGCAGAGTAATTTGCCTCTGCCCATACCAAAGTCTTCACTAACAAAAAATTCTGTTATATACGAGAGTATAAAGATTTTTAATAACTTACCTCATGAAATAAAGAGTATTCATGAGCTTAAAATATTTCGAGAACAACTTAAAATATATTTGATTCGAAAGGTGTTTTATAGTCTCCAGGAATTTTACGATTCATCCTAATTAGTCCTAAATTTTGTTAGTTTGTTATATTTGTTAATTTTATGATTTGTTGTATATTTATATTTATGTTGGTTCATATTCTTGTGATATTTTATTATTTTTGTTATTTTAGTTGTGTCTGTCCGTGGCATTCTGATATTTAATTAGTGTCACTTGTATTGATATTTTAACGTGTTTCATAAGCATAATTGTAATAATTGAAGATTTGCTCCTCGATTTGCTCTTTTTTTTCCTATTATTTAAAAAAAATAAAATACACATATGTATATATATATTGTTAAGGGTGAATGCGGAGTGTGTCCTCTGAATAGTAGTTTAGTTTAGGATAAGTCGCTTTGTCAATGGATCTTTTTGAATTTATGACAATAAAGCTTTTTTTGATTTGATAAACGACTTGATCCAATTTTCTAGGTTGATACACCAATTTTCAACAAGGCAAATTCAATATCATTGTGTTATATGTTGTGGTTAACACTACTATATCATCATGCAAACCATAGTAACAAGAACATGTTTCTTTGAAGGTAATCGAGAATGGGTGCGCAGAAATGGCCTAACACTAATGCCCGAAGTGGACAAAAAAATGATTGCTGAAGAGGAAGAAGGAAGATCTGCGGTTCTTTGCGCTATTAATGGTAAGAAATTATTAACTAGGTATTTTGTATAATAAATCTTATCCAGTGAAGTAGATATTATTTTGTTGTTCTTGGGTATATGAGGATCAATAAAACCAAATGGCTTTGGTTTTTTAGCTACGTTTTGAAAAATTTGTCATTCGTTTGGTGTTTCGATCGGCCCATTAAACCAAAGACCAAAGTCAACTCTTGATAAACCGTGAATGAACCACTTGAAATCAAGCCTGATCCATTTGTAATTTTTATTGTCAACGTTTCTTTTAATCATAGGTACAATCGTTGCTATGATAAGTGTAGCGGACATGGTTAAACCAGAGGCCCACTTGGCTGTCTACACTCTTAAGAAAATGGGATTGGAGGTGATTCTGCTCACTGGCGACAACAGACAAACTGCCGCTAATATAGCGAGGCAAGTTGGGATTACAAAGGTTTATGCGGAAGTTTTACCGTCGCATAAAGTAGCCAGAGTACAACGGTAATAAGTTTTTTTTTTTGCTTTAGAAAAATAAACACAAAACTAATTGAAATAAGGGCAGGTTCAGATTCGACCTTTTCTCATCTATGAATTGAGAAATTATCTAGAAAAGTTTGGTTCATGTTTATCCACCGACATGATAATAATGTTGAGTATAGCAACTTCTTACAAAGTCACTGGCTTTGAGTAAATAATGATTAGAGTCACTGAGAAAGCTTAAAATTGACCTTTCATTCAAATTCAAATTGTTGTTAAAGAAAGCCCTTAAATTCCCAATAATTTCATTAAACCCAACATTGTTTTTTCCTAGGTATCAAAGTAGAGGAATTCGCGTAGCGATGGTAGGCGACGGTATAAACGATTCTCCGGCTCTAGCACAAGCAGACGTTGGTATGGCCATATCTTCTGGGACTGACGTCGCTGTAGAAGCAGCGCACGTCGTACTTATGAGAAACGATCTCTTGGACGTGGTAGCTTGTTTACAACTCAGCCGAAAAACCGTCCGCCGGATACGTCTCAATTTTCTATTTGCCAGCATGTATAATTTTTTGGGTTAGTATCAGAATTTCGTTTAATTCAACTTAAGTATTTTTAAGAAAGGTTGCTATTAAATTTAAAGTAGTTATACCTTGTACTTGAAATTCAATCGTATTGTTGTATTATTTAGGTATTCCCCTAGCAGCAGGTGCTTTCAGTATGGTAGGTTTCATGCTAGCCCCGTGGATGGCTAGCGCAGCCATGGCCATGAGTTCCGTTTCCGTTGTGGCTTCAAGCCTTATGTTGAAACTGTGGAAAAAACCTTCAAGAACAGACCTGGAAACAGCAGAGTATCTAGCAAGTAGAAACAGTTGTTCACTAGAAGCTATTTCTATTCATAGAGGCTTGGACGACATCCAGAGTCTAGGAACGGGCAGTCCTTCGACATTGTCTAGGTATAATGACGCACTTTGCGACGATTACTAACATTATCATTATGGTTTAGGTTATATTAACATTTTTGGTAGCTGTTATAGTCCACATCACAAGATGAAAATATATGAGAATTATTATGGTTGAGCAGATAATAATAGTAGAGTGCTAGTCAATCGTAATTATGCTTTTTGTGGAGGGCTAATAACTAATATTTCGAAGATTCTAAAACCAAAGTCAATCCAAAATTAGACTATGCAAAAAACGAGATATTAATAGCATTAGCGTTAACTTACTGTTTATAAAAGTTTCTAAAATGTGTGTAGATCATAACGAAACATCAACCATATTTTTCCGTTGATTGATAATTAACTTACAGCAATAAATGTAAAGAAAATCAATTAAAACGGCTCGTGCTTGTCGGTTGGATCTTCAAAATATTAGTTTTTATTTAATTAACAATTTAGCTTGTGACACTTTGCCCCTCACAGAGATCATTTTTAAAGCGATTTTATCACAAATAGCACCCTACTAATAGTATAATATCACGAAGTGGTAGTATGTATAATATACAAGATTTTCACGTAAATTGAGGTCTTCACCTTTTTTGTATAGGTGATTTAATGGTTTTTGTGAATGCAGGTGCTTTATTTTCACGAAGATGAAGCATTTACTTAGGGTACAAAGGATATTTTTAAGACACAATGAGGCATAATAAGTTTATTTTATCTGGACAAGCACACATTGTTTTTTTTTTATAAGTATTACTTAGAATATTTAACTCGTTTTCATATTATTATCACAGCTTCTTTTTAATGCATGTCAAAATAGTCAATTCCAGTCGCTCGATAAATTTGCTTAATGCAAGTCACAGTTTGTATTGGGCGACTCAAATTAACTGAAACAAAGCAGATGCTTGAAAAATGGGAAATATTCCCGTACTATTTCTCAAGAATTTTATTTGTTGAGAGATCAAGTTTTGTTTTTATTTATTTCTAGACGTAAAACGTGCCTGCAAATTTTTAGTTAAACGCTCTACTTTAATCGTAAGTGTTGTTTTCGTTTTGCTGTAATTTTTTGTTTTACTTATGTTTTTTTTTTATTTTTGTAATAATAAGTTTTTGTATATTTTCTGTTCTTTTCATTTTTTATGTTTGTGTCTGTCTCATACCCCATTTTACATTCTTTTTTTTTTCAACTTTGCGCCTGCTCTTTACTCATGCTTGACACAGCTTTTAGTCCGTTTCAATCTTACTAACAAAAATTAATTGACAGTTTTGTTTTTATTTTCTTTTTTTGAATTCTTTGTTCATGCCTATATGGACTGCCAAAAATTGCTTTATCTAAAACTACTATTTTACCGAATGAAAATAACTTAAATTTTTAAGTAAAACTGGTAAGTTTTTGTCGAGAACTAACTATAATTAACCACCGATGATAAACGAACAACAAAATGTGACCCGAAAACTTTTTGAATAGGTTCCTCGGAAAGAAATCTTCAACAAAACAAAGACTTTTATCGGAAAAAGACGAAGAAGCTTCCATCGAGTTCTGTAACAGCCAAACTAGAGAATACGACGTGCAGCAGCCGCTTATATAAGATGCCCAATTTTCAATTTTGTTAATCATTATTAGTACATAAATCTTTTAGATACTTAACATCAAATGCAGAGAGGCTTACTTTTTATTGATTTTGTCTTTTGCAAAATACTTATTGTGATCTATAATTTTTAATGTTATTAAGAGATAATATATTTCTATCGATTATAAACAGCTATTTTCATTAGTGTACCTATAAAGTTCTTAACTATTACTTCATTTCACATTATTAAAATTACATTGAGAATCTTGGCAACCGTAGCAGAGAGCAACAGGTAGCAACACCATAGTTATAAAATTATGATAGAGAAATTAACTTTTGAATACCAAATATTTCAATCTAAGCAAACAAAGCAGAACCTCTAATTATTGTTATTGCTATCAAAAGCTTTGAAAACTTCCTTTGATTAAGAAGGAGAGCCAGAGCGATACTACACACCAATTTCCTTCACGAGTATCTTTTTAATAATCTGGTCAAGGAAAATCAACATGGTTGATCCAGTAAAAGAAATCTGGTAACAAAGGAAAAGCTACATAACTTAAGCGATAATTTACAAAGGATAAGGCACATCGCTTTTTCGGCAACCGCGAGAGGTGGGATCATTCCACTCTACGCTCTGCAATAGGACGCCAAATATTATTATATTGCAGGTTAAAATTATGTTGATTATGTTATACTATTAATTGAATTCTGTTTATTAGTTAAATGTCGTTTTAATCCAATGAACCAATCAAAACCAACTAATAGATTAAATTCACATTAAACTGGAATCGAGCTGAATAGTGGCAAGAATTTTCTCCACTTACTGCATTCTGTGATTTGTGAGCGATTTGCTAACTCTTGATTGGCCGAAGGGTACTAGAAGGGAACCCTTTTATATGAGAACTTGAAATAATTCCACGAATTGAAAGTTGTTCCTGGCAAAAGATCCACTAGGCAAGTCCAACGTCTCTACCTTTATTTTTAAGAGAGCCTTATTATGGCGTTGTCTTTTGGACATAGGCGGGTGCTTGGGGATGCTAAGCACCCCTAGAGCAAAAATTAGCACTCCCATTTGGCATCCCACCATAGCGCTACCTACAGTGGCACTACCCAACACTAATATAAAAAATTAGTGCAACCAAGTTATTTTTTTTTCTTTTTTGCACTTACTTACGTCATCGATGACGTCATAATTTAGAAAAAGGTATTTGTCGGTGATAAATTCATCTAGAACACGTTCGCAATTATTATTGTTATGGAATAAAAGTTTTCAACCGGGGCCGGTATTACAATATTACCTTAAAATCAAGACTTACCCTAAAATATAGGGCCGAAACGGTGAAAGCTACAAGGTCGGTTAAATTAGAAATAAGTTGCCTTTTTTGATGCCCATTCAAGACTCGTTTACAGTGTAGCCAAATTCCTTTTAGTTTATGAAATACAAGGTGATTTCTAAGAAACGCCTAAAAATAGTCTATCAAATATTTCGAAAACTATTTATTTTCGGGACACAATTTAAATTTGAAAGTTTTATAATTTTTTTCGCTCTACAACAAGGCATCTTCAAATTTCGAATCCGACGTTTCGTGGTAAAGCAACCATCATCAACTTCATTTTTTTAAATACGGACCTGGATTTTTTATGACATTTTAAGAAAGCACCCTCTATTCTCTTTTCAACGATATATCTTTTAAGTATTATTGGTCGACGTTTCTGATCTAAAAAGTGATTTTCACCAAAATTTTACCTTAATTCGGACCTGGTTATGAACCTGTATTTTTGAAACTAAAAGGAATTTGGCAACACTGTAAACGAATCTCAAATGGGCATCAAAAAAGGCAACTTTTTTCTAATTTGACCGACCTTGTAGCTTTTACCGTTTCGGATATAGCAATAGTGGTATCACTTAAAATATACCTGCAAGCAAAATTTAAAAAAAGTCACCCTCTTACATTTTAATTTTTTTCTGGAAAACTGGCAAAGGGAAAATTTAGAACATTTTCCAGGAATAAGAGAAAATTTCAAAATTTTCCAATGAAAAACACTCCAGGAAAAATTTTGAAACTAACTTTTTTAAGCAAAATTAAGGAGAATTCACCCTCTTACATTTTAATTTTTTTTCTAGAAATCTGACAAAGGGAAAATTGTGATATTTTTCCAGAAGAAAGAGAAAAGTGAGGAGCTCATTATAGAGAAATTTCAAAATTTTCCAGTGGAAAATCACTCCATACAATATTCTGGAAAATTGACTTATTTAAGCAAAATTAAGGAAAATTCACCCTCTTAGATTTTAGTTTTTTTCTGGAAAACTGGCAGAGGGCAAATGTTGAAAATTTTCCAGGAAAAAGAGAAAAGTGGGGAGCTCATTATAGGGAAATTTCGAAATTTTCCAGTGACTATTTCACCAGAGTATTTTACACTGGCAAAATGTCATAGGAACGGCCAGTTTCCTAATGACAAAACTCCTACCTGTTCCTACCTGGAGAAAACAAACATGATGGTTTTTCAGCGACAAAATTCTGGAAAATTGACTTTTTCAAGTAAAATTGATGAAAATTCATCCAATCACATTTCAATTTTTTTCTGGAAAACTGGCAAGATACGAAAGTCAGGAGCTCATTATAAGGATATTTCTAAATTTTCCAATGAAAAATCGCTCCAGGAAAAATTCTGAAAAAAATGACTTTTTCAAGTAAAATTATAAAATTAAGAAAAACTCATCCTCTCACATTTCAATTTATTTCTGGAAAACTAATAAAGCAAAACTTGTGAAATTTTTCCAGGAGAAAAAAGAAAATGAGGAGCTCAACAGAAAAATTTCAAAATTTTCTAGTGAAAAATAACTCCAGAAAAATTTCTGGAAAATTGAATTATTTAAGCAAAATTAAGGAAAATTCACCCATTCACAGTTAATTTTTTTTTTTGGAAAACTGGCAAAGGGAAAATTTTGAAATTTTTCCAGGAGAAACACGAAAGTGAGAGGCTTATTTCAGGAAAATTTCGAAATTTTCCAGTGAAAAATCATTCCAGGAAAAACTCTAGAAAATTGACTTTTTAAGCAAAATTCATTTTCTTACATTTTATTTTTTTTTCTAGAAAACTGGCAAAAGAATAATTGTGAAAATTTTCAGAAAAAAAAGGAAAGTGAGGATCTCATTATAGCGAAATTTCAAAATTTTTCAGTGGAAAATCACTCCAGAAAAATTCTGGAAAATTGATTTTTTCAAGTAAAATTAAGGAAAATTTATCCTTTCACATTTCAATTTTTTTCTGGAAAACTGGCAAAGGAAAAATGTTGAAAATACTCCAGAAAAAAGAAGAAAGTGAGGAGCTCATTATAAGAAAATTTCAAAATTTTCCAGTGAAAAATTACTTCAGGAAAAATTCTGGAAAACTGACTTTTAAGCAAAATTCATTCTTTTAATTTTAATTTTTTTCTGGAAAACTGGCAGAAGGAAAATTGTGAAAATTTTCCAGGAAAAAGAAGAAAGTGAGGAGCTCATTATGGGAATATTTCAAAATTTTCCTGTGAAAAATCATTCCAGGAAAAATTCTGGAAAATTTACTTTTTTAAGCAAAATTAATTTTCTTACATTTTATCTTTCTCCTAGAAAACTGGCAAAAGGAAAATTGTGAAAATTTTCCAGAAAAAAAGGAAAGTGAGGATCTCATTATAGCAAAATTGCAAAATTTTGCAGCGAAAAATTTTGGAAAACTGACTTTTTTTAGCAAAATTCATTCTTTTGCCTTTTAAATATTTTCTGGAAAACTGGCAAAGTAAAAATTGTGAAATTTCTTCAGGAGAAAGATGAAAGTGAGGAGCTTATTATAGGAAAATTTCAAAATTTTCCAGTGGAAAATCATTCCAGGAAAAATTCTGGAAAATTGACTTTTTTAGGCAAAATTCATTTTTCTGAGATTGACAAGAAATGTCAGCATTTTTGACCGGTTGACAGGTCGCAAAACCCAATATTCTGGTATTTTAATTATGTTTCAATAGTTGCTTAGGAATCAATGAATAACAATACGAGAATCACTTTTCCGGCCTAGACCGGGAAAGTGATTCTCGTACTGCTGAACAATTGGAACAAAAATACAAACGTTTAACAGATATTTAACCGATCTCAGAAAAAATAGTATGTGTATTTCGGTGGAAAAGCACATTCTCGGCCTTTGGTGTTTGCCGGCCTCGGCTACTCCTCGCCCGTCAACTTACACCGTCGGTCGAGAATGTGTCACTTTTCCACCTAAATACACAATATACTATTTCTTACTTTTTAGTTTTTTTTTCTAGAAAACTGGCAAAGGGAAAATTGTGAAAATTTTCCAGAAAAAAAAGGAAAGTGAGGAGTTCATTATAGCAAATTTTCAAAATTTTCCAGTGAAAAATCACTCGAAAAACAATTCTGGAAAATTGACTTATTTAAACAAAATTAAGGGAAATTCATTCTCTTACATTTTAATTTTTTTCTGTAAAACTCGCAAAGGGAAAATTTTGAAAATTTTCCAGGAAAAAGATAAAAGTGGGGAGCTCATTATAGGAAAAATTCAAAATTTTCCAGTGAAAAATCATTCCAGGAAAAATTCTAGAAAATTGACTTTTTCAAGTAAAATTAGGGAAAATTCATTTGCTCACGTTTCAATTTTTTTCTGGAAAACTAGCAAAGCAAAAGTTGTGAAATTTTTTCCAGGAGAAAGAGGTAAGTGAGGAGCTCATTATGGGAAAATTTCAAAATTTTCAAGTGAAAAATCACTCCAGGAAAAATTCTGGAAAATTGAATTATTTAAGCAAAATTAAGGAAAATTCACCTTTCACATTTTAATTTTCCTTTGGAAAACTGGCAGAGGGAAAAAGAAGAAAGTTTTTTCAGCGTGGCTCATTATAGGAAAATATCAAAATTTTCCAGTGAAAAGTCACTCCAGGAAAAATTCTGGAATATTGACTTTACCAAGGAAAATTAATCCTCACATTTTAATTTTTTTCTGTAACACTGACAAAAGGAAAATTTTGAAAATTTTCCAGTGGAAAAGCACTCCAGGAAAAGTTCTAGATAATTGATTTTTTTAAGTAAAATTAAGGAAGATTCATTCTCTCACATTCATTTTTTTTTTTTTGGAAAACTGACAAAGAGAAAATTTTGAAAATTTTCCAGAAAAAAGTGATCTTATTATAGGAAAATTTCAAAATTTTCCAGTGGAAAATCACTTCAAGAAAAATTTTGGAAAATTGGCTTTTTCAAGTAAAAATAATAAAAATTCATCATCTCACATTTCATTTTTTTTTCTGAAAAACTGGAAAGGAAAGATTGTGAAATTTTTCCAAGAGAAAGAAGAAAATGGGGAGCTCACTATAGCATAGTTTCAAAACTTTCTAGTGAAAAATCAAAAATTTTGGAAAATTGACTTATTTAAGCAAAATGTACCCTCTTACATTTTAATTTTTTTCTGGAAAACTGGCAACAAAATTTTCCAGGAAAAAGATAAAAGTGAGGAGCTCATTATAGGGAAATTTCGAAATTTTCCAGTGAAAAATCACTCCAGGAAAAATTTTGGAGAATTGACTTATTTAAGCAAAATTAAGAAAAATTCACCCTCTTACAATTTCAATTTTTTTCTGGAAAACTGGCAACGGGAAAATTTTGAAATTTTTACAGGAGAAAGAGAAAAGGAGAAGGTGCTCTATGAATTAATCTATAACTCAACTTTTTCTCTAAGTTATGACGTCATCGATGACGTAAGTGAAAACCTTTGTGCCGTGCAACGAACTACTTATATGTTTGTTTGAAGTTTCAGACATAAAAAAACCTATTTTTCAAAAAAAAAGGCAAATGATGACGTAAGTACAAACCCTCGTGAAACTAACTTTTTTTTACGCGTCTCATTTCCTTTCCATCAATCCTCATCAAAAAAAAAAAGGTGCTGCAGCACCTCTCAAATTTGGAGCCTAGTTGCGCTTATGCTTCTGGAGGTCTTCCAGGCAAGGCAACTATCCAACATTTTGAACTTTTTAATTGCATTGTGATTTCATTGTTGTAGTAGCAATCCTTGATGGTACGGGTATGTTTTTTCCTGTTGACAAATTAGGTTCTAACAATAAAACACTGCCTTCCCAAAAAAAACGGAATTTATTTACATTAATTTATTGTATAATTTTTTTTAAGACTAACCTGGTCTGGCCGACTGCTTATTCGAGAATCTCCTTTGATTTCACTATTTTGAATCAAAATACCCAACAAAATAATACAAAACTAAACACATTTACCAAATATTAAAGAAAAAAAATAAGGGAGATCTCTCAAAACCAGACCCACCAGGCGTGATAAATGAAATAGGTGAGACGTTTTGTATGAGAACAAAAGTTTTGCCACATGGACAAAGATAGATACTCTAGAATAAGAAAATACTATCTATTTAAACCAATATCCTAAAAGGGCCGATGGCGAATTTGAAGAAGGTGTTTTAGGCAATTTAAAATTATAATAAGGGTTAGTGAATGTAGAAGGGCGTTTCGCTACTGCTAAGCTATGATATTAGCTGTTTTTTTTGGATCCAAAAGATTTTAAATTTTTAGGTTTTGTACCTAGATAAAATGTTAAGGGCAGTTGGCTCAGCGATATAAAATTAGGAAGTTTATAATCAATATGATTGAGTTTAGATAGCTTTGAGCTGTAACAATATATGCAGATTTGAAGCTTAGTAGCTCAGAATTGCGTATCTAAAACAAAAAAATCTGGGATTTAAAATAAAATGATATTGACGAGGTCCTCATGTAGGATAGCGCTTCTTTCGCTAAGGGTTACAGAATCCTGACAAGGTAGATTAGACACCTACTTTTTCAAATTTTAGAAATACGATGTAATGTATGTGTTGAAGGTCTCAGTGCATTGTACTTTGTAGAGATTCTAACTGTATCAGGCAGCTTTCCAGATTCTTCATCCTTAAACGGCATTGCAGTTTAGTAGAAGGTGGTCATGTGCCCCTCTCCATCTTTCGTAGGTGTTTCTTAAGTCTGCATTATTCCGAGAGAAATCCTGGCAGTCTAATTTAAACTATATGAGATTATCTCAGCTTCCCTCAATGTTTAAGAGACTCTTTGATGTTTGTTTCAATAATTACCTCTATTGCAAGAAGATTTAGATGGCTTAGGAAGAGGATTTAAAACTAGGAAACTTAAATCAATTTATGCTGTTTTATAAGCTTCACAAGGAAAGTAAATAAAATTTTATTGTTCGTCGATTTTTAACCGACACTTTCCGTATGAGGAGCGAGGGGGTGTTTCATATGGCATAAACAGGTGTGACGTCAGGTAACCATTGGCGTTCTAATGTAAGGAGCCACCAGCTCACATTCCGTCTGAGTATCAGATTAAAATCGACGGACAATAACCAGCTATATGCTAAATGATCAGCAACTCAAATATGTGTCTTCAGTGAGGGATCTTAAGTGTTGTTTCGAGTATATCAATACCATTGCTATAGAGTTTAAAAATGTTAAATTATAATATAGGGAATTGCAATTATTTCTGAATCGAATCTCTCCGAGCAATACATTGTCCTTTTGTTCATTACAGTTCAGTTGTATCGTCGCTATTTTATCAACTTCATTGGAAAGAGTCCAGCATCAATGTTTGAGGGTAATTATGAAGACATGATTATCCATGATGACTATAGGATTGTTGAGCAGCAACCTTGATTAGGTAAACTCCAAGATATGTTTGGCTCGGTTATCATCTGCAGGTTTAGGAGTTTTGTTCTTCTTGTAAAAAAAAGCTCGTTGTTGTTCATTCTCTGTTCAACTAGGGTATGGTTTTTTAAATTTTAAATGTCCTTGCGTTTTTGTATAGCTCCGGTTGGTATCATGCGCACACATATCTATACATAATACATGAAATCCCCAGTTTGCCAACGTGTTTTTTGCCGATTGAACGCCTCTGCGAAGGAATGGAGTAAACCAATTAGATTATTTATGTTAAAAACTTAAAACAAATCTCCAAGATCTCTACAAAAAAAAATAAAAAAAAAATTGTGCAGCCAAAAGGAAACAGGAAACTAATCATACTCTACAAGCCCCATTAAATATTACATACCAAAACCAAATACTATAATTACATTAAAATCAGAAAATGTATTGTGCTATAAAATTTTTGGCGCATTTTATGGTGATATTTTTACAAAATTCAGTAGAACTATCAGAAACGTCAATTAAAAGACACAGAAATTTAGGGTCAAACTTCATAACAATCTACATTTAATTACCAAATTGGAAAACATACTTGAACTTGTGTTAAGCAAGTTTTGAGAACACTCTTGTAGTACTACATCTAAGAATTAACTACACTGGGCCAGTCTATGAAGAAACATTATGCCTTAAATTTGCAGATACTCTCTTCACTATTTCTGTCTAGTGGTTACCTACTTCAGTTTACCATTTCGGCTAAAACATGAGAGTTGCTGAATTGCATCGAAATTGTAAGGCGTGCAAACGTAGGTAGGTACTACTTTGGCGCTATTGAAAATGTTCGGAGTCCAGAAAGAACAAATATAGCTAAATATACAGCAAAAGATGGTACATTAATTGGATCAGACCAGAGCTTTTTACAGAATCCTAAATAGCAGTAAGAGAGGAGTTCAAACTAACACTAAAGGCCAATAATTAATGAAAATGATAAGATGCTGTACTCAGTTATACCACCTCAGAAATACCCATAGAACCAACAACCATTCAAAATATCTTCAGGATCAACAAGTTACACTAGAGGCCGATAATTAGTGGAAATGATAAGATGCTGTACTCAGTTATACTACCTCGGAAATACCCATAGAGCCACCAACCATTTAAAATATCTTCAGGATCAACAAGTTAACATAAATTGACATTATTTCTGCACAATATGGAATTGACACTTGTGGAGCCAATACACAAAATGATACATGTAACACGAAATGAATATCAGATACTTACCAGTCAATTGGTGCACAGGAATCTTATGCCTCTTGCACCAAAAGGGGGGTTATTTGGGCCCAGTTTATTCACCTTCTGATTAACTGTCAGGTAATGCAATCTGTAATCCCAGATTCAAATGAAAACTATCTATCCAGAAAAAATATGGAAAGATGGCATTAATGGAGGTGCTGGAAGAAGCTAGACTGGCAGTGCATATAAATAGCTGATGGAATAAAGAAAGTCCAACTAGTGCAATAGACCCATGATTATGTTGATGATGATAATACAATTTACACATATAATAGGTGGATCTTGAACAAATTAGCAAAAAGCTGAAACTAGCGAGCGGGAGAAGATCGTTTTTCAAACATACTACAGTTTTATGCTAATTTATTTCGGGCATTTTCTTGGTTGCATTGAAGCATTATCAGAAACTGTGACAGCCACATTATTGCAGTAGTGTAATCAGTAATTGATAACTTACTACCATTAATTTTAATTCCCAGTTCCAAGCAATAGACAAAATTTTGTACTCACACTCATCAGAAAAGACTTTGAACTTCCCACTTTCGAAGAGAAACCGAAAACCATAATACTTACAATATTTAATCCTAAAAATAAGAACAACTGTGGATTTAAATTTAAAATAATACATAATATAACCATGTCATCAGTGGTAGATCCTGTCAAAAAAAAACAATCATATTAAAAAATCTTCAATTATCATCAAGTCGATTTACCCAGGCTGGTATAACAGATTAAATTTCATGAAAAAATAAGGGATATTTACATATACCGGCCACGGTATTTCGACTTTATTATACAAATTCGTGTTAGTAATAAGGGAAGTTATTAAAGCAGCATTTTCAACAAACATACCATTTCTTAGTAGCCATTTTCTCGAAATATATACTAAAAATGATATGTTGTAAAAAATTAGGTAGGTCTTACCGTCACAGGATTGACAGGTGCTCCTCAACATATAGGGAGTATGACTAGGGGTCCGTCGTCTTTCTTCTAATGACGGGCCAAGGGGTAGAGGCCGAAAAAGTGCTTGACTTTTGCGACACTTTTTGTGCACATTCTCGTTTTCAAGGCACGTTCCTGCAAATTAAAATTCAATTTATTTATTCAAAGAATCGACACCAGATCCAATCACAGACACTGAATTAACATACATTAGAACTCTACAAAACAATTTTAGCAAAGTAAACTAATCACAATTTTAGGATCAGTAAAATTTTCTCTGAATTATTTTAAATGCTTTAGGGCTAAATAAGATTCTGTGTTGATAGTATAGATTGGTTCTGGGGGTTATAGGGTAGGCCAACTTGCAATCGTCAGTAAAATCTAGCGAGTCAACATTCTTTATCTACGACAATACCTTGTTGAATGCAACCAAAAATAAAAGCGGAGCCAGGTCTGAGTCCGTGGAATGCTTGATGTGCTGGTAAAAGCTAAAGATTTACCGAGCATTCTACAGAATCTTAAATAGCACGAATACAACAGTTCAAAGAGAGGCCGAAAATTAGTGTATATGTTAAGATGGATAACTCTTTAGAAAACTGCTGTACTTAGAATCAGAAGGTTAGTTATTAAAACATTATATATAAACTTGTACCATTTCTTTCTTGCCAGCTACAGCGAGTTCGAATAGCGGCGAAAGTCCGACGTCTTTTTTCCACGGGCTCTTTCATTGATGCGGCAAGGGGTGGCGGCTGGTGGCTTACTCGACGTTTGCGACTCTCTTTGGGCTTAGTCTCGATGTTGAGGCATGTTGCTGGAAATATAAAAAAAATGTACAGAAAGTGGAAACTAGAAACATTTTTTAAACTTGTAATACGGTATAATACAGGGTGCTTGGTACATCGATGAGAAGTTTTCAATCAGTGATAGTTGTTTGATCATTTTAACCCTCATGCAAGGTTTCGCCGTTTTTTGAGATATCGCCATTTTTAGATATTTTGACTCCTCGTATTTTGACACATAGCTTAGGTGACATATTTTTTGTATCAATCATTTCGTTTTTTCTTTCCGTATTGTTTGGAAAAAGTGCATATTAGGAATGTCGGAAAAAAAAATTGAGCAAGATTAAAGTGGTTACTACCACAAAAACAATAGGTTTTAGGAACAATTCAAATATTTCCCAAAAATATCTAAAAATGCTGATATCTCAAAAACTCAGAAACTTTGCATAAGGGTAAATATAGTCAAACAGCTCCCAAATGACCCCAACTATCACTCATTGTAAACTTCCCATCGATGTACTAAACACCCTGTATAAAAAGTGGGACCCCAATTTTTCCTTTCGATTTTTTTCTGTCTCCAAAGGAAAAACCCAATTTGCATGAACAGTAAAGTCTTTCATAACGATTAACGAATACCTCCAATAACTGGTAACTCTTTTTTTAAGCAATCCCTTATTTATATTTCATGAAATATCAAATACTTAGTCGGTCCCCTTTGGACACACTGTTATTGGACAAAAAGCCCAAAAGGCTATCTTCTGATAAGTATGTGACTTGGATAATTGAAGAAGTACATACATCAAATCCTGTTACATTTGATTAAAAAAAATAAAAAAAAAATAGTGAAAGTTCCAATGAGAGAGATAGTTAACACATCAAGGGGTGAAGGATGAACTTTTTTTTGGGAAGAGCCAAGCGCTTTTGCGCTAAATATCCAGAGACGAAAACGAACATAAAGATGACAGCAACCAAGATATTTGGTACATAACTTAGCAATTAGGTACTCGGTACATCAGTAGCTCCAGAAATACTTTAGCATAAGGAGCTGTGACAGGAGGTCAAAAAAAAACAGTGGTTATTTCATTAGCAAGGAGTAAGAGTCCTCCATAGCTATAACACAAGTTTTTCAAGGGGAGTTGAGACAAGCTTTGCCACAAAGGATAAAAAAATGACATTGAAAATGAATGCAAGATATGGCAACTACAGAAGCTGAAAGCAGAAGAGTGATGATGATGCTTTTTTGATTAAGAGAGAGAGTGACTTAGCTGTCTGGTGCGAAAACTCTATTTTAACAACTAAGATCAATTAGAGAAATTTCACTCCAAAAATCTGTTTGTTTTTGCCGTGCAAATAATTAGAGCAATGTGCGCTCTCTCTCTCTTTAAACCTCTACTTGGTTTAATGGTCATGGTAAATACTCTCCAATACAGGATTTTTGCCTGCAACACCCACAAATATATAATTCCATAGCCCAAGAATCAAAATGATATTTACTTACCAGCTTCAATATTTTCCGGGGTAGCTTTTGACAACTCAATTGCCTGGATACGACCTGATCTACGACGTTCTGGGTTCGACTGAACTAGTGATTTGCGACGACGTACTGGGGTCGATTGAGCTGCTGCAGGTGGTTCCCGTACTAGAAAAAATAGCTATTTACACTTGCGGAAAATATTTTTCCGCACTCGGCTGCATCACCGAACTCTGCTACGCGTCGTTCGGTGAACGGCAGCCGCGTGCGGAAAAATTCATTTTCCGCACTTGTTAGGTACAATATTTTTCCTACAGGCGAAAAAATGTAATTTTTTTTTTTTTGACATATCAGTGCGGTAAATTTTTTTCCGCACTGACAGCCGTGCGGAAAAACTTTTTCCGCACTGATATGTCAAAAAAAAAAGTTTTACCGCACCGTGCGGGAAAACTCATTTTCCGCACGCATATCAGTGCGGAAAATCGATTTTGCCGCATGGTTGTAGGAAATAGTTATTTACCTAACAAGTGCGGAAAGTGGTCCTTTACGGGCAAGCTGTCGAGTGCGGTAAAGTCACTTTTCGCACGTGTTAGGTACAAAATTTTTCCTTCGGAGCACATAATTTTTGGAATTAAAATCTAATTGGAAGAAAAAATGCATAAAAAATAGCAAACATTGATTGTTAAAAACAATAAATGTTTCTATTTCATGCATTACGCCCATTACGCGAAGGCAAATGCATTAATTACATGTTTTTTTAAAATTTTTGACACAGTGCGGTAAAGGATTTTTACCGCACTCAGTGCGGTAAAAGAACTCAAAATTTTTATGGCAAGAATTTGGTTAAAAGTCTGTCTTGGTGGCATTTGTCAAATCTGCTACGTTGCATTTTTGTTTTTCCCATAGCAACAAATCAATATTATAATTTGCGTCTATGGGAAGTTCAAATAGATTCGTGTTTTGTGGTTCAAATTTTCCATTTTTCGGTATAACATAAATTCTTGAGAAATGGAGACCTTCGATGAAGAAATATTCGAAGCAGCGAATGCAGCAGTCGGCTCTTTGATTCCACAAAAATCTCAGGACCGGCACAATAAAGAATATGAACAATGGAATTTTCACATTTTACCTGTGCTGCGCGCGCTGCTTGTGGGTGACAGATAATAAAATTGTCAATTGAATGAACGCGGTCTAATGCTGACTTTCTTTAAGCTAACCTCAATTATCAATCAATATTGCTGAAAATTATTACAAAAACTGTTTATTATACAATGGTTCAAATGTGTTGTGTATGATCTTGTCAGAGTGAGGTAGAAAAAAAGTCAAATCTTTCTTTTCACGAGTTCCCAAGCAATCAAAATGTAAGAAAACAATGGTTACGTGATCTCAACCTGACTGAAGACGATTAAAGTTGGAACAGAGATTTGAGGGTTCGTAAAATAACGATTTCTATATCAAATACAATGATAATTGTACAATTAAAGGTTTGCTAGCACTTGCAAATTCGTACTTCTCAAACTTGTCATTCCACACAGGTATCGCGCGTCATTATATGTGTCTCTTTCTTTATTGCAGAAATCCTAATAAACTATCCTTGTTGTTCAGTTCATTACATGAAAAAGGTCCATACAAACGTTTTTTTTAAAAGAGTGCGGTAAAGTACTACCTACGGCACGCAAACGAGTGCGGTAAAGTGTACTTTACCGCACGCGAGTAGGAAAAATATTTTCCGCAAGTGTTAGGTACAATATTTTTCCTACAGGCGAAAAAATGTAAAATTTTTCTTTTTTTTTTGACATATCAGTGCGGTAAAATTTTTTCCGCACTGACAGCCGTGCGGAAAAACTTTTTCCGTACTGATATGTCAAAAAAAAGGTTTACCGCACCGTGCGGGAAAACTCATTTTCCGCACGCATATCAGTGCGGAAAATCGATTTTTCCGCACGGCTGTAGGAAATAGTTATTTTCCTAACAAGTGCGCAAAGTGTTACTTTTCCGCACGCAAACACAGTTATACGAACGACGCGAAGCGGAGTTTGGATAAGTGTTTGCGTGCGGAAAAGACACTTTGCGCACGTGTTAGGAACTAAATTTTTCCTACGAGCTTCATATCAGGTAGGTAACAACAAAAATTTAGAAAAAAAAATTATTTGTTCAACTATTTTTAATTAACTTGAAGCGAACCTATGCAGTTATCAAAAAATTACATAACAAAAAAAAAAAAAATAACAGAAAATCATCGTCAGAGCCCTTTTTTTAAAACGTTTAAATTTGATGAGAAAGTTTGTAGATTCTTGCATATCAATAGAGAACAAATCTGACAATGTGTCAAAGTTAATTAAATTTGGTGTTTGTATAGATGTTGGCTGATATAGAAACAGAGGAAAAATTTGTCATCATTTGTCAACGTCGACAGGTGCCCTTATTGTTGCTTGACAATTATTTTTACTTTTCGGCACTCAGTGCGGATAAGGCCTGTATCCGCACTGAGTGCGGAAAAGTGTAACTTTGAGAACCGAAATGCGTGCGGAAAAGTACTACTTTGCGCACGCTCGTAGGAAAAATTATTTTCCTACGAGCGTGCGCAAAGTAGTACTTTTCCGCACGCATTTCGGTTCTCAAAGTTACACTTTTCCGCACTCAGTGCGGATACAGGCCTTATCCGCACTGAGTGCCGAAAAGTAAAAATAATTGTCAAGCAACAATAAGGGCACCTGTCGACGTTGACAAATGATGACAAATTTTTCCTCTGTTTCTATATCAGCCAACATCTATACAAACACCAAATTTAATTAACTTTGACACATTGTCAGATTTGTTCTCTATTGATATGCAAGAATCTACAAACTTTCTCATCAAATTTAAACGTTTTAAAAAAAGGGCTCTGACGATGATTTTCTGTTATTTTTTTTTTTTTTGTTATGTAATTTTTTGATAACTGCATAGGTTCGCTTCAAGTTAATTAAAAATAGTTGAACAAATAATTTTTTTTTCTAAATTTTTGTTGTTACCTACCTGATATGAAGCTCGTAGGAAAAATTTAGTTCCTAACACGTGCGCAAAGTGTCTTTTCCGCACGCAAACACTTATCCAAACTCCGCTTCGCGTCGTTCGTATAACTGTGTTTGCGTGCGGAAAAGTAACACTTTGCGCACTTGTTAGGAAAATAACTATTTCCTACGAGCGTGCGCAAAGTAGTACTTTTCCACACGCATTTCGGTACTCAAAGTTACACTTTTCCGCACTCAGTGCGGATACAGGCCTTATCCGCACTGAGCGCCGAAAAGTAAAAATAATTGTCAAGCAACAATAAGTGTACCTGTCGACTTTGACACATGATGACAAGTTTTTCTCTGTTTCTTTAGCAGCCTACATCTATACGAACACCGAATATAATTAACTTTGACACATTGTCAGATTTGTTCTCTATTTATATGCAAGAATCTACAAACTTTCTCATCAAATTTAAACGCTTTAAGATGAACAGCTCTGACGAGGATTTTTTATTATTATTTTTTTTGTTACGTAATTGTTTGATAAATGCGTAGGTTCGCTCCAAGTTAATTAAAAATAATTGAACAAATTATCGTTTTTTTTTTTTAAATTTTTGTTGTTACCTACTTGATATGAAGCTCGTAGGAAAAATTTTGTTCCTAACACGTGCGCAAAGTGTCTTTTCCGCACGCAAACACTTATCCGAACTCCGCTTCGCGTCGTTCGTATAACTGTGTTTGCGTGCGGAAAAGTAACACTTTGCGCACTTGTTAGGAAAATAACTATTTCAATATTACTTGTTATTACGAGACTTAAATACTCTCCAAGACGGGGTTTTTGTCCGCAACAACCTACAACCAGAAATATTTACTCACCAGCTTCAGTATTTCCAGAAGTAGTTTTTGACAATTCAATTGCCTCGAGATGAAGTGATTTGCGACGTACTGGAGTCAATTGAGCTGCTGCAGGTGGTTCCCATACTAGAACAAAATGTATTTTTAATATTAGTCATTATTAGGAGATTTGAATAATCCCTAAGACGGCCAGAAAATCAGTAATTATATCCCAAGAATCAAAATGAATTATCGATATTTACTATAACTATTACTATCTAGTGGATATGGACTGAGGTGAGACATATAAGCCCATTTTTGCACTGTTACTTATCAATGGTTTTGGAACTGTTCGTTTTTGAGTTTTTGTTTTGGTTTAAGCACTATTGGAACTGACTATCAAGTTTTATCTTGAATACTGACATTCAAGTAGCTGTAACGGTACTGTTTCAGCTGGGAATTGCCAGAAGGCAAATACTCTATTTGGTAGAAAGTTCTCTCGACACACTGTGGAGTAATTTTCTTTTTCAGGTTTGAGACTGTGGCCCAAGAGTCTCTGGTCTGTGTTCAATGCATAGAGGTATCTAACTGTTTGAATGTTGTAGAGTGTTTGATTTTTTGTTTTTCTATCTTCGAAGCTCAGCAGTTTTTGTTGTTCTAGTCTTTCCTCATATATGTATATAGGTCTTCTTCTACCAGTTATAAGTTATAATGGTGTTGCTTTTCGCTGTACAGCTTCAAGGCTAGTGCGGTCTTCAATGAGGTCTGGGTGTAGGGTTTCCATACGTCCGGATTTACCCGGACATGTTTGGGTTTATAGGGTTTTTGGGGAATTCCGGCCGGAATTCGGAGCAATGTCCGGAAAACATGGAGATCGTGAAAACACTCATACTCAGTTTACGCACTATCCAGAAGACGTAAAATTTTACGTCACGCATTAGTACATAAAGTAAGTCACTTTACACACTAGGGTCACTAGGCAATTTTTCGCGAAGATAACTAAGTATACTCGAGTATGCGATTATGTGACACGTCAATTGTGTTGTAGTGACCTTTGTGTTTTTACTATTGTATTTTTACCTTTATGTTTTTACCTTTGTGTTTTTATTATTGTTTATTTTTTTGTGTGTAGTTAGCTTTGGTTAGTTGTTAGGCAAGGTTGTGGAGATAAATAATTTCGTTTTTGTTTATTATTATTATTAAAAAGTTATTAACTGAATTGCTCCTAATTCTTCCAGAGAAGTATTTTCTCATTTAAAATATTGTGTTCAGACAACACAATAACTGGTGACCCCGTTTTGAACCATGAATGAAAACAATGAAGCAGTTTTATCAGTAAATATTAAATTACCTAGTTTTTGGGCAAATGACGCAAAGCTATGGTTTGCTCAAGTGGAATCAGTATTTACTACGAAGAGAATTACTGCAGAAAATACAAAATTTCACCATGTCATTGCTGCATTAGATCAAGATACGGTTTTGGAGGTCAGAGACATTATTTTAGATCCTCCACAAGCTAATCCCTTTTCCAAATTAAAAGAAGAATTAATCAAGCGAACTTCAATATCCTTACAGAAAAGGATTAATCAATTAATTGCTTCCGAGGAACTTGGTGATAGAACTCCTTCCCAATTACTTCGTAGGATGAAGCAATTAGTAGGTGATATTAAGTTGGACGATAGCTTTCTTATGGAAATATGGATGAAGCGGCTTCCATCCAATGTAAAGATGATCCTTTTATCTACAGCTAATACAATTTCTTTAGAAGATTTGGCAAAAAAAGCTGATGATATATACGAAATTTCTAAAACTGAACTTGTCAATGTTTCTGCTGTCAATAGTTTTTCGGAGGTTGACAAAATTAAAAGTGACATGGAAGACATCAAAAAAATGATTAAAAATTTACAATTTGGTTGTCGCAACAAAAGTAATTTTCATCATAGCGGATCTAATAGAAGTAGAGAAACCATCATTTCATCCCGAAGTAGGAGTGCCAGTCCAATTTCAAACTCTAAGTTGTGCTGGTATCATGAACGATTTGGAGACAAGGCTGACAAGTGTATTCCTCCTTGTGCGGAGGCTAAGAATGTTAGTAGGTCGCAAAATAAATTCAAAAAATCTTTAAATAACAATGTTTTAGGTTCGCAATTAGATGTCAGCAACTATTGTTTTAATAATTTTGACAAAGCCTTTCCCCAGAATTTGTTTTATTTGCAGGATTCTATTTCCGGTCATCGTTTTCTTGTGGATACTGGTGCAGAGGTAAGTCTATTAGCTTTCTCTAAAGGTATGAATCCAACAAACAAGTATGATAAAACTCTTTTCGCTGCGAATAATTCTGTTATTGAAACTTTTGGGACCAAATCATTAGTTCTGGATTTTGGTTTTAAGAAAAAATTTAAATGGCCATTTGTTATAGCAAATATAAAACAATCAATTTTGGGAGCTGATTTTTTGAGAAATTTTAATCTGCTAGTTGACATGAAAAGGAGGCAAGTTATAGATGCTTTAACGTATCAAAATATTATAGGTTGTCCTTCAAGTATTTCATCCATAGCTCCTATTTCTCTAGGTAATTTCTATAATTGTCAATTTACGAATATTTTACTGAAATTTCCATTACTTACCAAGCCGCTTACTCGAAATTTGACAATAAAACATAACATAACACATTGCATTGAAACTCGAGGACATCCAGTTTATGCAAAGACTAGGCGACTAGCGCCTGATCGTTTAAAAATAGTTAAACAAGAATTTGAAAGGCTTCTAGATTTAGGTATTGTGCGTGTATCTTCTAGTAATTGGTCTTCTCCTTTACATATGGTACCTAAACAAGGTTCAGATAATTGGCGTATTGTAGGAGATTATCGAGCACTTAATAATGTTACAATTCCTGATCGTTATCCAATTCCTAATATACAAGACTTTTCAGGTAGTTGTGTTGATGCAAAATTGTTTTCAAAATTAGATTTAGTTAGAGCTTATCATCAGATTCCAATTGAACCTTGTGATATTCCAAAAACCGCAATTACTACACCATTTGGACTATTTGAATATGTAAAAATGAGTTTTGGATTGAGAAATGCAGCTCAAACATTTCAAAGGTTCATTAATGAGGTACTCCGGGGGTTTGATTTTTGCTTTGTGTATCTTGATGATATTCTCGTGGCTAGTAAAACTGAGGGACAGCATGAAGAACATTTACACAAAATTTTTCAAAGACTAGAAGAATATGGCGTAATTTTGAACCCAGAAAAATGTAAATTTGGGTTGAATGAAATAGAATTTTTGGGTCATTTAGTTAATGGCAGAGGAATAAAACCCTTATCTGCAAAAGTTGAAGCAATTCGACAGTTCCCGGTTCCGTCTTCTCAACGCAAGCTCCAAGAATTTTTGGGTATGGTAAATTTTTACCATAGATTTATTCCAAATTGTGCAGATTTATGCAAGTCCTTGTATGATCTCGTTAAATCTAATAAGAAAAAGAATTTTGTTTGGACAAATTGTGCTCAGAATGATTTTGTCAAGATTAAAGAAGCATTAGCTACTGCAACATTTTTAAATCACCCTACGGAAAATGTACCTCTGAACATTATGGTGGATTCTTCTGATTTTGCAGTAGGTGCAGTTTTTCAACAATATCATAATAATTTTTGGCAGCCTGTGTGTTTCTTTTCAAAAAAACTTACACCTACTGAACAGAGATATAGTACATTTGGAAGAGAACTTTTGGCAATTTATTTGGCTATCAAAAAATTCAGGTATTTACTTGAAGGCAGGGTTTTTCATATTTTAACAGATCATAAGCCACTGGTATATGCAATCAAATCAAATTCAGATAAATATTCCCTTAGAGAATTTAGACATTTAGATTTCATTTCACAGTTTACTACAGATATTAGACATATTTCAGGTAAAAACAATGCTGTTGCCGATGCTCTAAGTCGCATTGAGTTAAATTCGATTTGTTTGGAAAATATTAATTATTTAGAAAGTACAAGAAACTGATCAGGAACTAAAGTTCTTTCAGAATTCAGACAATACTTCTTTGTTATTGGAAAAGTTTCATTTAGATGACGAATCAGTTGAATTGTTTTGTGATGTATCAACAGGCAAGGCTCGTCCGTTTATCCCAATTAAGTTTCGGTATAAAATTTTCAAAATTATGCATTCTTTATCACACCCTGGAATTCGTGCTTCACAAAAGCTTATTTCATCTAGGGTAGTCTGGCCAAACTTAAGATCTGATATTAAGAGGTGGACAAAAGAATGTGTAAGTTGTCAAAGGTCTAAAATAATTAGACATACGGTAAGTCCTTTGTCACAATTTGAGACTCCTAAAGACAGATTCAGTCACTTACATATCGATATTGTGGGTCCTTTGCCCTGTTCTAAAGGTTTTAAGTATCTTGTTACTTGTATAGATCGGTATACTAGGTGGCCTGAAGTAATTCCTGTTAAAGATATTAATAGTTCTACGGTTGCTGAAGCTTTAGTTTCTCAGTGGATAAGTAGATTTGGTATACCAACTTTTATTACATCTGATAGAGGATCTCAATTTGAGTCAAAATTATTTAAAGAATTAATGTTAATTCTCGGCACTCATCACATTAAAACAACAGCTTATCATCCTATTTCTAATGGAGTTATTGAGCGATTTCATCGAAGTCTCAAAAGTGCTTTGACGGCGGTTGATGGTATTCATTGGGTTGATTCGCTTCCCATAGTCATGCTTGGGCTGAGAACTTGCTTTAAGGATTCTATCCAATGTAGTGCTGCGGAAATGGTTTATGGGACTACTTTACGTATTCCTGGAGAATTTTTTGAGAATTCTACTTCTGAAAGCCAAACTTCTTCTGACTTTGTTATAAAACTTAAAGAATTTATGCAAAACTTAAAACCAGCAACCTCAAATTTTAAACAAAGAAAGTTTTTCATTAACAAAAATTTGTTTGATTCATCGCATGTTTTCGTTAAGATCGATTCTCATAAGAAACCTTTATCGTTTTCCTATAATGGTCCATTTAAAGTTTTGGAGAAATCAAATAAATTTTTTAAAATAGATTTAAACGGAAAACCCTATAATGTATCAATTGATCGTATTAAACCAGCGTTTATGGATACATGTTTGTTGGATAATTCTTTGGAATCAGTATTGAAGGTGAAAAAATCTGCACCAGTGAAACAAGAAATAAATAAAAAAATAAAAAAGTGAGATTTAAAATTTCGAAGTAGAATACTTCTGGAGGAAGGTTATGTAGTGACCTTTGTGTTTTTACTATTGTATTTTTACCTTTATGTTTTTACCTTTGTGTTTTTATTATTGTTTATTTTTTTGTGTGTAGTTAGCTTTGGTTAGTTGTTAGGCAAGGTTGTGGAGATAAATAATTTCGTTTTTGTTTATTATTATTATTAAAAAGTTATTAACTGAATTGCTCCTAATTCTTCCAGAGAAGTATTTTCTCATTTGAAATATTGTGTTCAGACAACACAATAGTGTCATACTCCCCTAACACACCCATTATCAAATTCTGGGATACTCGAGGATTAAGAACACTTTACTTCTTCTGTGAGAACAGACTAAAAATCACCTTTTCTACATTTAAAATCGACGAAAAAATCAACTCATTAGCTCAGCTTGAATCGTAAGCATTCCTTCATGGTCTGTGTGTGACGTCATCACTATAGGCTGCTGGTAGTGACGTCACTCGCAGGCATAGAATTGAATCTAGAGGGGGTTAGGGGAGTATGACACAGTTGACACATCACATATAACTCAGCATAATCAAAGTATGCTTGATTATCCGCGCGCAAAATTGCCTACTAGTGCGTGAAGTAATGTCACTTATAGATGTCGACACTGTAATTTTTTTCTAGTAAATTACTTTACGCACTTGTGCGTGAAGTATTTGTCTAAATTTATTTCTTTACACATATTTTATTGGTAATAGAAAATTGTGTGTATATTATGCAATACGTGTGTAAAGTAAACCTTTTTTCACAAATTAGGCAATTCAATCCATCCACAGGAATAACTTGCTGTTGGCTTTTTTGCACATTGTCATTACATGTGCTGACCAGGATAAGTCTTTGGCTATCAGAACTCCAAGATCATTGTGTTCCAGAACACTGACCAATACTGACCCATTGATGGTGTATTCATTTTCTGGGTTATTTTTCCCAAGATGGAGTATCACACATTCATGCCAGTCTTTACACCACTTCTCAATTTGGTTCAAATCATTCTAGAGCGACTCAGAATTGATTGCGGGACCATAAGTTTTTATGTCGTCGGTGAACGTGACACATATTGATATTATTAGGTTAAGGAGATCTACAGGGTGTCCAAAATACCATGGGCCACCATTGGTATATCAGAAACGGTAAGAGATACGAGGGCGGTGAAGTTAGAAAAAAGTTGCCATTTTTGAAGGGTATTTAAAATATATTTTCGTTGTTGCCAAATTTTTATTGGTTTCCGAGTTACAGGGTGATTTGTGGAAAACAATTTTGGCGAATTTTTCAAAACTATCCATTTTGGAGACATTCTTTAAATTTGAAATTTTCATGATTTTTTTTGCTCTAGGTACAATATGGTATTTTGTAATGTTAATTCCGACGTTTCGTCTTCAGGATATCATCATCAACTTATTTTTTTTAAATACGGACCTGGATTTTTTATTTCATATTTTGAAAGGAAATCTAATTTACAATTTTACCATGTGTCATACATGTATATTTTCCAACCACCATATTCTAGAGCAAAAAAAAAACATGGAACTTTCAAATTTAAAGATTGTCTCTAAAATTAATAGTTTCCGAAATATTCGACAAAATATTTTTAGGTGTTTTTCACAAATCACCCTGTATCCAGGGACGTCGCGTCGGGGGGGGGGGGGGGTAATAGGGGTAATTACCCCCACCAGGATCCAAAATTCAAGGGAAAAATCACGATTCCCAAAAGAAAATACATAATAATATTAAAGAAAATACATTTTTTTTTGTTTTATTTTCCTCACAAAGGAAATTAGTGTTCTGGAAAAGTGAATGACCTTGAAATTGACAAAAAATTTCGCCTGCGGCGCGTTAGCGGGGGGTCACGTCTTCCCATTACCCCCCCCCCCCTAGACTGCAAGTCACGCGTCGCCACTGCCTGTATCTCGGAAACTAATGAAAATTTGGCAATAACAAAAATATATTTTAAATACCCTTTGAAAATGGCAACTTTTTTCTAATTTAACCGCCCTCTTATCTCTTACCGTTTCTGATATACCAAACCGAGCCTTGGGGTATGCCATCCTGTACTGATAGAGTTGAGTATAAGTCGCGAACTCTGACTTAGTTGTTAGGACAGTCAAGAAGGCAAGCTGTGGTACCCACTCCGTTTTGATACAAAAACATGTTGTTGAGTTGAAATTAATTGGTCATGTTCAAGAAAACCTATCAGATTTTCTGCGAGCATAAATTCCATGATTTTGTTCACAATGGGTAGCTAGCAAGCTTATTGGCTTATAGTTTCCAGCATCTAAACTGCTGGAACTTCGATATGCATAAAGAAATTTTTTGCCTATTTTTGAAGTCAAATATCTCTGAAAGTTTAAAAGATATTTGACTGCGGTTTGAAGCATATTGGGGTGCATTGTTTGGTGTTCATGGTATATGGTATCTGCTGATGAACAGAAACGGTATCTACAACATACAGGGTGGACAATAAAACAGTGCAAACTTTACTTTACTTTTTTTTAAACCTGTATGAAATCTTTTTAAAACACGAAAAAAGACGAAACCGTTGAACCAACAATAATGAAGAAAATTGTTTCGAGTAACTGAGACAAAGAATCAGGGCGATGAAAGTCGTTTTTCAGTTAAACTGTAATTTCTGCAAAATTACGAGTATTATTCAAAAACCCTTTAAGATGTTTTTTACTATTGAACTACTGATTCTTCTAGAACCCAGAAAAAAAGCATTAGTATGTTTGAAAAGAAATGGCGATGCCCTGAAATTTCTTAAACTTTGCACTGTTTTATTATCCGCCCTGTACGTTGTAGATAACGTTTCTGTTCATCAGCACGATACCATATACCTTGAGCGCCAAACAATGCGCCCGAAAATGCTTCAAACCGCAATCAAATATCTCTCTTACTTTCTAAGATATTTGACTTCAAAAATAGGCAAAAAATTTCTTTATGCGGATCGAAGTTCTAGCAGTTTAGTTTATCACCTTTTTTGTATATCGGGGTAACTAACACAGGTTGTTTGAGCACTTTTTAAGAACTAATGAAAATATTCCATCCAGACCTGGAGAGCTGGCAAACTTCAGGGCTTTTATCTTCTTTATAGGATGCCTTGGATTGTGATTTGGAGAGTTGTGATTTCATTTGGTTCCCTGTCAAAGTTTATTTGAAGATCTTCAGGAATAAATGCAGCTGTCATGAATACTTTAGAAAACTCGTTTGCCGAGATGATGGCTTTCTCAATATCGCTCATGCACATTTCCCCATTTGGAGTTTTCAAAATAGGAATGCCCACTTACCAGCTTTGATATTTCCTGCTGTAGCTTTTGACAGCTCGATTTTCTCGAGACGAGCTGATCTGCGCCGTTCTACTGGGTTCAATTGAGGTGCTGCTGCTGGTTTCCGTCCTAAAACGAAATTTGTTTTAAATATTACTTATTATAACGAGATTTAAATACTCTCTAAGATGGGATTTTTGTCTGCAAACAGCCTCAAAATCAGTTCATCATTCTTTTACTCAAGAATGAAAATAAATGATTGATATTTACTTACCAGGGGTAGCTTTTGGCAGCTCAATTGCCTTAAAACGAACTGACCTGGGCCTTTCTGCTGGGGTCAATTGAGCTGCTGCTGGTGGTTTCCGTACTAAAACAAACAAAAAAAGACGGAATTTTTGTCTGCAACGGCCACAAAATCAGTACATAATTCTGTAACCCAAAAATGAAAAAGAATTATATTTACTTACCAGGGGTAGCTTTTGACAAATCAATTGTGTTGGGACGGAGAGATCTACGACGTGCTGGGGTCAATTGAACTGGTGCAGGTGATTCCCGTACTAGAACATTTTTTTTTTAAATCACATTATAAGATTTAAAGACTCTCTAAGACAAGATTTTCATCTGCAAGAGCCACCAAATCAGTACATAATTCTGTGACCCAAGAATGAAAATGAATTATTGAAATTGCCTTTGATAATTCCATTGCCTTAGGGCGGAGTGATCTACGACGTACTGGGTTCGATTGAGCTATTGCAGGTGGTTCCCGTACAAGAACAAAATTTATTTTTATTATTACTTATTATTCTGAAATCTGAATACTTTCTAATACTATAGAATTTTTGTCTGCAATAGCCACAAAATTAGTACATAATTCTGCAACCCAAAAATGAAAATGAATAATTGATATTTACTTACCAGGGGTAGCTTTTGACAACTCATGTGCCTTGGGACGAAGTGATCTCCGACGTACTGGAGTCAATTGAGCTACTGCAGGTGGTTCCCTTACTAGAACAAAATTAATAATTTTCAATATTACCTGTTATTACAAGTTTTAAATACTCTGCAATTGTCTGCAACAGCCACAAAGTCAGAATATAATCGTATTATCCAAGATGGAAAATGAGTGACTGATATTTACTTACCAGCTTCAATATTTCCCGCGGTAGATTTTGACAAATTCATTGCCAGGATTCGAATGGATCTGCGACGTTCTGCAGGTGAGTCTCCTACTAGAAAAAAATGTATTATTTATATAACTTATTATAACAAAAAAACCGTTCTTGCAACACACATTTACAAAAAACAGAACCTTATTCAAAATGTACTCACCTTTGCATTTTTTCAGTTTAGGACCCTGAACATCCATACATTTTCTTTTAGGCTGCCTTTCTTCCAGTTCTAGAATAAAAAAAAAAATAAGTCTATAGAAACCAAATAGCTACAATAGCTGATAAATCCTCTACAGAATTAAGCTAAAAGGAGAAAAGTGAAAAATCATTATTAGGACAACTTTTATTATAAACTAGGTATTCCATATATCAACCGCAAAATTATTAGGTAGATAGGTATTTATTTAATTTCTAAAGCCAATATGGAAAATGTTTGAATAATATTTACTTAAAAGATTCAATAACTTTCGCATTCATTGACTGATATTTCTCGATCTGAATTGATTTGAGATGTCGATGCGCTGAGAACGATGGAGCCCTAACTACTGAATTTTTTTTTTCTAATAGAAACAAAAAATAAAAATAAGTCATCTAATTTACAAATTATTAGTTGAGAGGCTGTTAAAGTGATGTAACATTTTGATCCCTCTTCTGATTTGAGACGGTGGCTAGGGGGTTAAAAGAGAGTAGGTGAATTTTACATAAAAACTAATCCCCTAACAAATTATAGTTCACGTTTGGGAGATTTTTTCCGAAGATAATAGGGGTGGTAAGTTTCTTAATAAATCATTTTAATACTTCTTCATGATTTCTAGAATTTAGAAAGATGTGTGTATACTTTTTGAGGTTCAAAACTCTATAACAAATTACCAAATGATATAATGCTTCAGAATGTGAATTTTAGATTGATATAGTTTATAGGAGTAATTCTTTGGAACAAGTAAATATGGTTGAAATGAATAATAAATGAATTTGGAATCTAATTTTTTACCTTCAACTTGCACTATTATTTCGTATGGATTGAAAGGGCAGTTCATGAATTCCTGAAAAAAAAAAACGTTATTAATAAAATCATTCAGGGCTAGCTGGGGAATATTTTATCTGTACAATTTCTGCACAATTTCACAAAACGTTTGGCATGTAATTAATATAGGTATACTAGCATGTTCGACTATTTATCGTAAGCCTTCTGTTTTGTCATGTAGGTGATATACAGAATACTTACCAAATTAACAGCTGCTATATTTTCCAGGAAAAACTTTTCATAGGGTTCTTCTTCAAGTACCTGTACAAAAAATGAAATGTATACAGAGTGAAAATAAAATTATATAGAAATCCAAGACACAAGAAATCACGTAAGAAAATATTGCAAATAAAACAAGAAAGAACCAATTGTACCCGTTTTAGTGGGGCTGCTGAATCGGGAAAATCTTAAGTAAATGAGAAAACACAAATTTCAAATGGCAATAGAAAAATTATGCATTACTTACACTACTTACTCTGGCCGCTTTCTGCAGCAATGTTCCACTGTTATCTACTTCCTCTGTATCTTTCTTCTCTTCTTCGCATTCTGAATATGGCTTTAATTTGCTCTGGGTTTGCGGTTTCGGAGGTTCTGCAGGTGACGTAAAAGATTGGAGTGGTTTTGGAACTAAAGGAAGAATGATAGGAAATAAATTTTGATTTTCTCAACAAAAAAAAAAAAGAATTTTACCTTGAATTTTTGGTTCCTTAGAAAGATTCTCTTTCATTTGCCTGAATTTATTCACCATTTCTGAGGATGGGTGCGACACATTGGTGACTTTTGCGTCATCCACAAAGGCTTTATCTGCTCTTACATCAGAATCTTCATGAATTACGCGTTCTGGAGTTTCAATCTGGGGAAAAAAATTACTATATGGATGATAACTTAGGAAATTGCGCATTACTTACTATGAATATTTCCAGCGCTTCAAAAAGATCTTGAGACAATTTTTCGCGGTTATCTACTTCCTCGTCTTCTTCATATTCTGAAGATGCCTCTACTTCGCTCTGGGTTTCCGGTTTCGGAAGCTCTGCAGGTGGGGTCAAAGAATGAAGTGGTTTGGGAGCTAGAGAAAGAGTGATAGGAAATAAAATTCGAATTTCTTAACAAAAAAAAAGGATTTCACCTTGAGTTTCTGATTCCGTAGGAAGATTTTCTTCCACTTGCTTTAATTTCTCCACCATTTTTAAGGATCGGTGCGACTCTTGTGTGATTTTTAAGTCATCCATAAACTTTTCATCTGCTCTTACAACATCTGGGTCGCGGTAAATTACACGTTCTGAAGTTTCAGTCTGGAGAAAAAAAATTATAACTATGTATACCTAAAATGAACAAGGTACAATAATTATAGTAAAAATATTACTAGTAAAACAAGAAAATACCAATAGAAAAATAATGAATTACTTACACTGGACAGAAACTCTTCATCTGCTCTTACATCAGGATCTTCGTAAATTTCACGTTCTGCAGTTTCAGTCTAGAGAAAAAAATTGTAACTATTAATATTGATGGTAAACGAAATAATATGGAATAATTTGGTGTTCTAATTGCCAAAAGTTTCCAATGGTATGTAATAGAAAATTCATGCATTACTTACGGTGGCGATTTTCTGCGCTTGTGACAATTTTTCGCTGTTGTCTACTTCCTCGGTCTCTTCTTTATATTCTGAAGATGCCTCCACTTCGCTATTTTTCGATTTTGGAACTTCTGCAGGTGGCTTTAAAGATTGAAGTGGTTTGAGACCTAAAGCAAAAATGATAGGAAATAAAATTTGAATTTCTCAAAAAAAAGAATTTTACCATGAATTTCTGATTCCTTAGAAAGATTATTATCTTTCACATGCCTGAATTTATCCTCTACTTTTGAGGATGGGTGCGACTCTTGAGTGACTTTTGAATTATCCACATATTCTTCATCTGCTCGAACATCATCAGGGTCTCGGTAAATTACACCTCCTGAAGTTTCAGCCTGGGGAGAAAAAAAATAGCTAGACTGATAATCTTGTACCTAGAATTATTAAAAAATGCGATTCATGTAGGATTGGTGGAGATACTAGAGAAAGATAACGGATACATGAAAAACCGTTTAATATTCCAACAAGATGGTGCGTCACCCCACTATGTTGCAGTAGTTCGTCAATATTTGGACCAAACGTTTTCAGGACAATTGATTCGAAGGGGGGGGGGGGGAGCTATTGAGTGGCCCTCACGTTCTCCAGATTTAAGCCCAGTAGATTTTTCTCCTATTGAGTTATTTAGAAAATAAAATTTATGCGATCCATCTTTGAAAGACCTGCAAAAACGAATAGTTTATGAATGTCATCAAATCACCCCACAAAAACTTTAAAACATACAAGAGCGGTTTGAACGAAATTTGTATATGGATGTTGGAGGTCAACATTTTCAGCTTTTAGTTGATTAATTTTGGTTTTAAACCATTTTTTTTAAATACATACAAAATTTCCCAGCATGTGGTTGTAAATTTGATTAGCCCCTGTAATGGCTAGGTAGATACGGAGATAGTAGGGGTGTAAAACTAGGGAGTCATAATCTACATAAAAATACCTTCAAAATGCGGTATCACTCGACCGCTAATTCCATTTAAAATTATGGGGGCCCTTGTTACCCCAAAATTGCCTCTGTTTTCTGTTCAAATGGCCACCCTGTATAACATTGAAAAATAAACCTGCATACACAATGAGTGAACATAAAATGAACTAGGTAAAATATTATAGGAAAAATACTAGGTACAGATAAAACAACAAAGTACGAATTGTAGTGGTGCTGCTGAATCGTAAAGCTTAGTCCAGACCTACATACATTTGCCCGCCAGCATTTGAGCATTTGTATAAAAACTGTATAAAAGCTGTTTAAAATGTGTTTGCAAACATTTGTAAGTTTTTTGTTTCCGGTCAGGATGAGAAACTTTGTTTTTAACCTCGCTTTTGAAGCAAGCCGTTCAAGACAAATGTTTGTTGTTTTAAGCAATCGTATCAGTAATGGTGCTATTTGTTTCCTTTTCTTTGACATAAAATATATATATCCAGCACAAATACCCGCCTCACTCTTCTATTCACTGACATGTTTGTTTTTGCCTTTTGTCTGAACGCAATCGCTACCTCGTTTAAAAACTAAATATTCTCTCACACATGTTTAAATGTTCTGTTTACGGGCAAATGTTCCAAACATTTGTTTGTGGGCAGTGTATATGAGTTTGGACTACATAAGAAAACACAAATTTCAAATGGTATTAATAGAAAAATCATGCATTATTTACAGTGGTGATTTTCTGCGCTTCACTAAGATTTTGAGGCGATTTTCCGCTGTCATCTACTTCCTCTTTCTCTTCCTCCTTTTCTCCGTATTCTGAAGATTCCTCTGCTTCGCTATGGGTTTCCGCTTTCAAAAGTTCTGCAGGTGGCGTGAAATATTGAAGTCGTTTGGGACCTAAAGAAACAATGATAGGAAATAAAATTTCAATTTCTCAAAAGAAAAACATAGATTTTACCTTCAATTTCTGCTTCCTTGGAAAGGTTCTCTTCCACTTGCCTGAATGTATTCACCATTTTTGAGAATGCTTGCGACTCTTGGGTGAGTTTTGACTGATCCATAGACTTCTCATCTGCTTTTACAGCATTATGGTGTTGGTAAATTACAAGTCCTGAAGCTTCAGCCTGAGGATTTTTTTTTTATAACTATACGACTGATATCTTGAGAAGTTGAATGATTAGTGATAATAGGGGCGACATCGGATTATTTTATTTTATTTTTATTTAATTTTATTTATCAACGGGCTTCACCCACAATTTTACAAAGAAAAAAATTATTTTACAAAATAGAAATACAGGGTGTCCCAAATTCGAGGGTGACCATTGCCATATCGGAAACTATAAGAGATACGAGGTCGGTTAAATTATGGCAAAGTCGCGCAATTTTATGACCAATAAAATGCCGTTTTGAAATTTGAAAAATTCCGAATACTTTCGAAGATATTCGGAAAAAAACGAAATTTTCCAAAATCATTTTTATTTCTTCCTGAGTCTATTTGGAGAGCAATTGTAAAAAAATCTTCACTTGAAATTTTATAGAATGATTATTTAAATCAAATCAAGCATGAAAATGAACGTCAGTCATCTTAATCGTGGTGGATTCTACGTCAGTCGGATTTCCAAAGTCGAGGGCAATGACCAGGTTTCTTTGGCGCGCTGCATCTTATGCAGTTCGACTGACGAATAATCCACCAGCCGCGTGCCGACTGACGATTGTTTATCGAATCTCTTAGACAATTCTCAACTTACAGGAGAACGGAAAAAACTGCAAGAGACGTTTATTATAGAATGTTCACAAGATCCTCTTCGGTTTGAGACAGCTTGGCCACTTGGAAGGAATACAATGATATGTAAAATCGATAAATCCGTTTTACTGCATATTCTGGAGAATGAAGTGGAAAGTCATGAGCCCGAACAATGTGACATCATCGTTTTCGATGGTTTTCACACAGTCCACGCTATGATAGAAATTCCTGTATCTTACATTCATTCACTGCGAACCGCGCAAAAACCATCATTATTGTGTTCGATCGTTACGTTTCTCCATCGATAAAAGATAACGAGCACATAATGCGTAGAAGTGTAGTGAGAAATCGTTTTACCATCAATGGACCTCAGCAGAAACGATCATCGAATTTTACAAACGATTTGAATAATACTTATTTCAAGGAAGCGTTGGTGAGATTTTTATGTGAACATTGGAATCAGAACCATATGAGTCCTTGGAGATTGTAGATTTCGGGGGAGTCGTTTCGGCTTTTCAGCCGCTCAGCACTGCTACCTTTGCAAATATTTTGTACGTGACTCTGCATCTTAATTTGTCTCCAGGAAGCGTAGACTTCTTCCGAAGGAAGCTATTTTCCTGGGTGTCAGTTGGCCCACTTCTTCTGGTGACAGTGTTGCCCCCTCAAGGAATTTGAGCCTCTTGCAGAATGGGGCTGGACATTCGCAGAGCAGGTGCTCTGCGGTCTCTATTGCGTCTAAGCAGAATCTGCAGAGATCGTCGTCCGCTCTGCCCATTAACCCTAAATGGTATTTTACTAGTCCTGTGAGCAGTCCCACCACCAATCTGGATGCCTGGTCTGCTCATGTTTAGGAGCTGTTCAGCTCTTTTTGCTGAAAATTAAGCCTTTTTCACTGTCTGAGTCCCGGTGTGTGCCTCCAATATGATGACAGTTGGTATTTCTCCCATTTATTGAGTTCCTCCATGATGTGGTTTTTCATTAAGCCACAGTAGGGCTGTCCATGATATGGTGTTGAGGCCCCTTCCTTTGCGAGGCCATCTGCTTCTTCGTTATATGAGTCCTTACTTTGGTTTGCTTTGGTGACCGAACTGTTTTCGTAAACTATGAGAAATGTTCCAAGTTCGAAGTCATTGATAATAGGGTTGTCAGAATAGTAGAGGTAGATTTGTCATGCTCTGAACATTTGGAAGTTGACTCTAATAGTATATTGTTGTATTAGGAGTAGAAGCTTCACTTTTTTGTGCTGAAGCAGTAGGTTTGCGAGCCGAACGTAGTGAGGCTTGCAATACTGCTGAAGCACAAAAAAGTGCTTCTACTCCGTATACAACACGCTATTTTTTCTCCAAACGAATGGGGTAAGCTCCGGGGTAACTGAGTGGTTAAGTGGCAGTAAAAGTACGAGCGGCACTAAAAGTACTTTTGCTGCCGCTCCAGCGGCACTAAAAGTACTTCTACTGCCGCTGCGGTTGCCTAGCAGCATAGAAATTAAATTTCTACCACCTCGACAGGTATTAACCCGCTGAATTTGCCTACCAGCATAGAAATTAAATTTCTATCATCTTGACAGGTGCTGACAAAGTGACGTTTTTTTGACGTTTGGAGAAAAAATTATTTTTCACGTCTGCCAATTGAATTTCGATGCTCATGTAACGATACGATTAGTCCAGGAGGTGGCGCCAAAAACATGCAAGAGTTTTCGCAAGGCGGATATTTTCAAAATAGGTCGTACTTTACTTAGTGCTAGAATGCTAGTGTACAGTCAGCACTCACAGTTCCGGGACAGCTGGCTCTAGGACGCGGGCAAAGTTGTAATTTTAAGAAGCAACTAAACTGTTTTTTCAAAGCTCAAAATTTATAGAAATTTTGCACATTATCTGTTTGAAGGTCACAGATAACGTATGTAAATCGTCAGACGTCTAGTTCGTTGCAAAAAGGGAGTCAGACGTCCTCAAAGTTTTTATTTTATGGCATTTTCTTCAAATATATTTGTCAAATACCTGCAAAAATATATTTTGACAGGACACCGAAGAAAATGCCATAAAATAAAAACTTTGAGGACGTCTGACCCCCTTTTTGCAAGGAACTAGACGTCTGACGATTTACATACGTTATCTGTGACCTTCAAACAGATAACGTGCAAAATTTCTATAAATTTTGAGCTTTGAGAAAACAGTTTAGATGCTTCTTAAAATTACAACTTTGCCCGCGTCCCAGAGCCAGCTGTCCCGGAACTGTGAGTGCTGACTGTACACTAGCATTCTAGCACTAAAGTACAACCTATTTTGAAAATATCCGCCTTGCGAAAACTCTTGCATGTTTTTGACGCCAGCTCCCCAACTAGATGTTCAAACACAGATATAATTGTAATTATGCTCGGTAACATGCCTAAAATCACACATAATTTACAGATTACGATTCTCATAGGACTAGGAAATAATTAACGTTATATAGACGTCAAAAAAAGATATTAAAATATTAGGTGAAGACTTGAGTGAAGCGTTGCCAGTTTTCCATGCTTTTACTGGATGCGACTTCAACCCCGCTTTCTATCGTAAGGGGAAAAAAGCCTTACGAACTTCTAAAAAAATCAAGAAATTATATCGATACCTTTATTGCTATTTCACAATGGTATGATGATAATTTGAGTGAACATTTTTCTGTTTTGGAGGGTCTTGTATGTCAAATGTATAGGTACAAAACATTGAAAGATGTTAACTCAGCTCGTTTGGCAACGTTCATGAAGATAGTGATGCCGCGAGACTCGAGACTGGTATCGTCTCGTCTCGTCTCGTCTCGTCTCGACTTTTCGAGACGAGACTGGCTTTTGGTCTCATCTCGAGAAGTCGCGACGAGACGAGACCAGACTCGGCGAGAGTCTCGCGTAGTCTCGAGTCTCGAAATTACAATTAAAATTTTTCTTTCATAGCTTTAATATTGGACTATTCTGGAACTATGAGAAACCCTAAAAAAGTAATAAAAAAAATCCTTCTCCAGCATTATTCTTGATAATATGAGGAGATAAATGTGAAAATTCACCTTCGAATTCTACAGGGAATTACATAGGTAGTTTATTCAATTCTCTGACATAATGGGTCTGTTTCTGCAGAAATCGCAAACCAGTCAGAGCAAATTACATTGGTTGAAACTAGTTTTCTGTCTTTCTGACTGTTTCTGACTGTTTTTAACCAATGAAATTCTCTGACTGGTTTGTGATTTATGCAGAAACAGACCCATTGTCAACGGGATATTTCCAGTGTTGCAAATTTTAATAAATATTAAAAAGGCAAATAACTTTCTTAAGAATCCCACTGGATTTTTTAAATTATTTTTCTGGGGTTCCCTGAAGGGTCCCCCACCACGCAGTGAAGAGTTTTCACACTACTTTCGGACACCCTGTATATCTCGAGACCAGACGAGACCACTCGAGACGAGACGAGACTTTGGTACTCGAGACCGAGACTAAGTCACGCTCTCATCTCGGGATGTCGAGACGAGACGAGACCAACCTCAAGTCTCATCTAGTTTCGTCTCGCGGCACCACTACATGAAGCCATACAAAATCGAAGATAATGAGGCTATTCTGGAAACAAAAAGCAATTTCGAAGGGTCAACTTTACCGCCATGTAAGTCTGAATTATACCAGCATTCCTTAAGAACTTCGCACATTGCGCAGATGTGGTCTCATGCTTCGCAGCACATAACAACTATAACTACTCCGATTGATTATGGCTGGCAAGAAGAAGATCGAAAATATATTTTCAAGTGGTTCGATGGAGAACAAGTTGCCTGACCTTCAAGATATCAGCGATGATTTATCAAAAAATCTAACAGGTAATCAAAAATCATTTTACGTTACTGATCTATTATCTGTTTTCACTCTAAAAATCCGTATTATTTACAGATTGTCAAGAAGATGCTGACGGAGACGAAGAGTCATCAGATTATGACGATGACGATGAAAGCTCTACAGAAGAGTCGGACTGCCAGAGTGATAGCGAAACCGATTAATTTCATAAGATTTTTGTATTTTGTATTAGCAATAAAAAAAGAATGATATTTCAGTGAACGCATTATTTTAATATAGAAGAATAGTGGTAGTAACTGTTCATGAATTGAATTTAGTTATTTGAATCATTGAGTCATTAGAATTGATCAAAAAATAGCAAAATCTCATGCACATTCAATAAACAATCGTCAGTCAGCACGATGCCGGTGGATTATTCGTCAGTCGAACTGCATAAGATGCAGCGCGCCAAAGAAACCTGGTCACTGCCCTCGACTTTGGAAACCCGACTGACGCAGAATCCACCATGATAAAGAAGGCTAACATTCATTTTCATTCTTGATTTGAATCAAATAATCAATCCATAAAATTTTAAGTGAAGATCGGTCACTTGAATTTTCCAACTTTTCCGACTGCTTCAAACCTCTGACTGACAATGTTTCCCCCGTCGGAAGCGTAATTGACAATATTTTCACGTTTAATTATCAATAACTAACATTCTAATCAACTTTAATGTGCAGATTATTTACTTTTTTTCATAGTTTTTCCGACGAGTTCCACAGCCGTCCACACTCATACCCACCGCGGTCGCGCTGACTGACTTTCAATTTTGATCACAGTAATGGTGAAACTCTTCAATAAATCACATTTGAGTCGGAGATAAATCACTAATAAAAATGTGACACTACCTCCCGGACTATTATCAATGGGAGTGAACTCTGCGCCTACCGGTAGGTCCCGTTTGTTTCAATGATTGTGTGCCTACCGTATATGTATAACGTTAAAACTATGGTAGGTCCCCAATTACCACATGATATAACGCCAATCGATAGGTACTGTTTACAAAAAAAATCCTGAGCCTACCGCTAGGTTCATAATAATTTAAGAATCCGTCGCCTACCCTACCTATTCATATATTATTATAATATGTGCATTTTTGATAGGCGATACTTATATTTGAAAAAGGTTTTCCACGTTTTTGGTGGATTTACGCTTCCGAAAATCTTCTCTTTGAAGTTTGGCGAACAGAGCGAGCAATCGGAGACTCAAAAATATTTTGAACAAGATGATAAGTAGGTACCTATATTTAAATAGTAGGAATATTACAAACCGAGGTGAGAAGTGTTCCATTTCTAGGAATGAAACTTCCAACCGAGGTTTGCATACTATTTACAACAATGACAACCATCACAATGTTGACCAAATGCTAAATAATTATTTAAAAAAATGTATTGACAAGTTCTGACTTATTTAAAAAAATGTTTGACATGCAGGACTTGTCTTTACCATTTAAAGAAATCAGGGCTTACTTTCCACCCGGGATCACTTTCCACCCGGGAAGAAAGTAAAATTCAAAAAAGTGTCACTTTCAAAAGTCAGAAATGCCAACATTACGTATGTGGTACGTTGTAAATGAAAAGGTTTTTCACGTTTTTGATTTTGCATCTGCGCTCCCAAGGATCCTCTTTTTGAGGTTTGGCGAGCATAGCGAGCAATCAAAGACTCATAAATAATTTCAAGGTGTGTGCAGAAGGATTTTCAATAGGTTGCCGTCTAGAATGAAGCAGATTCCAAACATCAACAAGTTTAAAGCTCAAATTAGAAAGATGTTAGGTAGGTACTAATAAAGGTCTATTGCTTAGTGGACGAATTTCATAATGACAATTCTACAAACAAACAAAATTTATTTTACTAACGCATTTATAGCTAGCAAGAGCTGACTGGTAAGATATACGGATTCTAAAGTATTAAAGTAATAAAACACCTTCCCAGTTCCAGTAGGCGCTTGATCAATTGACGAAAAAGGACCTACCAGTATTAGGCGCACAATCGGTGGATGAAAAAGGACCTACTGGTAGGCGTACGATCGTTGGATAACAAAGGACCTACCGGTAGGCGTAGGTTTCACTCCCATTATCAATTGGTGGAATGCTTGATTTGAAAGCCCAGATATCTCAGAAACTTCCTCTGTACTTGTTCCAGTCTATGAATAGGACATGCATAATGAGGGCTCCAAATCTGTGAACAATACTCCAATAATGGCCTGACAGCAGTCGAATAGCGGACACATTATTAAAGTCAGATGCAGTTCTCTTGATAAAACCAATAGCATACTTAGAGCTGTAGAAACCATGGTATCAATGTGGTTAACAAAGGATAGTCTGGAGTCCATGTTAACTCTCAGATCACGAATGACTGAGACCTGGGACAATGGCGCCCCTTTTATGCTATAGGAAAATTCTGTCCCCCTGCGTTTTTTAGTGAAGCCTATGGAATGACATTTAGCAATATTCATCGCCATTGCATTTCGATCACACCACATATCAAGTCTCTCCAGGTCTGACTGAAGCTTGAGACAATCATCCAATGAAGAAATTGCAAGGTAGCACTTCGAATCATCAGCAAAACACAGAAATTCAGCGAATTCAAAACAATCTGCAATATTATTAATAAACATTATGAACAGCAAGGGGCCCAAGTGGGATCCCTGGGGAACCCCAGAGGGATTAGGAATATATTTAGAAGTGTAGTTATTCACCTTGACTACCTGGTATCTATCCATGAGGTAGCTGGCCAACCATTCCAACAAGGTCCCCTGAATACCAACTGCTCTCAACTTATCAATCAACACCCCATAATTGACCCTATCAAACGCCTTGAAAAAGTCTGTATACTCAGGATGAACCTCTCCACCCCCCATCCAAGACGCCCGACAGATAGTCAACAAAGATTACTAAATTCAACTTAGTAGATCTCTCACTGCCAAAGCCAAACTACTCATCGATAATTGACGAGCCCAATATAGATTTTAAATAGTGCGAAACTGAAAAAAGTTTTAAGATAGAGCTAAGGTTACATATTGGTCTATAATTGCGAATATCTGATCTATTTCTTGACTTGAAAATAGTTTTAAGGTAGCACACTTTCCAGAAATCCGGAAATATGCCCGAAGAGAGCGATTTATTAAAAATAATGAGGAGTGGACGGGAAAGAAGAAAATTGCAACACTTCAACACTACAGGAGGAATTCCGTCAGGCCCAGGGCCTTTGTTTTGTATCCTAATTGCCATTCACAGGTTAATGGTTGAAGAAAATCTAATCATAAATGGCTGGACTGGAGTCAAAAAAACTACATCAAGATGTTTACCAAAATTGCCACAAATGATTGTTTGTTAGTAAAACTTGACACAACAACCCTCAAACCTTAACTTGGGAAGGGTCTCTGGGAGGCGTTATCGTAAACTGCTTCTTTAGCTTCTCAGGTTCTTCATAAGTTTCAAGAAATTTAAATCTTTCTTGTATATGTGTTGTTTGAACTTCTATGCGTTGTACATACAATATGGTTAATGCAAATTCATAACATTTATATGAAAATCGCTGGAACACAAATATATACCAAATAAGCAAGTTTTTAGAAGTCTCCTAAAATTCAGTCAGGCAATCGTGCACACAGGCCACCAATTTTGCTCTGAATATTCGGTGTTACAATCTATTATTTCAGTGAACCTAAATTGAACTCACACATATAAGATAATTCTATGACCACGATCTACTCGAACCATTCGATTTCCGAATCTCTATACAATACTCAGGATAGAACATCCTTGAATTGGTCAATAATATAAACTCCCAATTTACTAATACATTTCCAATTTTGTTCATTTGATGGTATTTATCTATTTTGGCAGTTGAAGCTCCTACATGATACATAATAATTATGTCCTTCTTTATTTGTCGTAAGCATTCTTATCATCATGTATTTTTCATTATATGAATAATATAGAACACTTACAAAAATTCCCATTGGTAATAGAAAAATTATACATTACTTACTCTGGCGATTTTCTGCTCTTCAATAAGATCTTGAGAAAATTTTCTGCTGTTATCTACTTGCTCAGTATCTTTTTCATATTCTGAAGATGCCTCTTCTTCACTCTGGATTACTGGTTTCGGTGGTTCTGCAGGTGGCTTAAAAGATTGAAGGGTTTTGGGACCTTCAGAAGGAATGATAGGAAATAAAATTTGAATTTCTCAGCAAAAAAAAAAATTACCTTGAATGTCTGGTTCCTTAGAAAGATTCTCTTTTACGTGCCTAAATGTATCCACTATTTTTGAGGATGGTTGCGACTCTTGGGTGACTTTTGATTCATCCACAAAATCTTCATCTGCTCTTACAACATCAGGGTCTCGGTAAATTACCCGTTCGGACTGAGGAAAAAAAATTATTATAACTATACGAATGATATCTAAAGAAGTTGCCGTTACATTTACCAAACAAGCATTTGCAAGACTCTCAAGCGAAAACTTATCATCTTCCAAAGTTTCTCTATTTACATCCCGAGGTGAATCACTTTCACAGGAAGAGCTTTCTCCTTTCATCGTTTTTCTGTTAACGTCCTGTAACAAAAAACGAAATTAATTAAAAATAAGTTACAGGAAGAGAAATAATATACATATCGATTATGTATATTTGGTAGATACATTAATTCACTAAAAATCAACAAATTGGCGTTATTGAGAAAAAAAAATGTTTGGTTCAGTTTATATCCGATGATTATTTAATGACGGATCTATTCACGGAAAAATCATATGATTATCACATGAACTTCATTTTATGAAGGTATAATAATAGTTATTTACATTACAAGTGCGTTTATGAACATGATTACAATAACGAGTGTGAAAGATAATCACACGAGTTTTGTAGTCATGTTTAAACGCACGTGTCCTGTACAACTTTTTATCTACAAAGCGAAAAATAAGAATTTTTTTTCAATCATTTTCGTTTATTAGTCGTTGTATACCTTCATTTTACCTTTACAGGTTTACCTTTGACATTTGTCAAATCATCAAAAATAGTTGTGTTATGAATTCATAACCTTGTCCATAACACCACTAGTTGTGTTATGAATTCATAACCTAGTCTATAACACAACTAGTTGTGTTATGAACCTCATGACATAATTCAAATACTGGAAAAATAGTTATGTAAAAACGTCATAACCAAATGCTTGTAGATAAACTGCATTTACCAATTCCAAATTCTGCCCTGTCAAAACACTCTATATGTAAATACTTACAATGACAGAATCATATCCTGAGCCTGTATCTGAATTCTTAAATATATTATCTGGTAATGTTCTGGACACTGGGCTAAGACAGCTATTTATATCTTCATTTTTGGAAATAGTTATTGTTTTTTTCACAGCTTTATCTGATAATTTGACTTCTGAGTCATCAACAGACTCTTCATATGGTCTTACAAAATTAGGGTCTTTGTCAATAACACGTACTGGAGTTTCAGTCTGATGGAGAAAAAAAAAATTACACCTATTCAAATGAATATTCCTAACCATCGAAAATACTTACAATAACAGAATTTGATCCCGAGTCCATATCTGAGTTATTCTCAAAAATATTATCTGATAATTTTCTAGACTCTGGGCTAAGAGGGGAATATTTATCTTCATTTTTAGAAGTTATTGTTTTTTCCACAACTTTATCTGGAAGTTTGACTTTTGAGTCATCCACAAACTCTTCCTTTGCTCTCACACCATCAGGGTGTTGGTTAACTACACGTTCTGGAGTTTCGGTCTGTGAAAAGAGAAATATTATCTAATATTTGAATTACTATTGAAGCTACATAAAAAAAACATAGTTTTCAAATCAGAAGAATATCTCCAACCATCGAAATTACTTACAATAACTGAAGAATCAGATCTTGAGTCCGAATCTGAACTCTCAAATATTTTATCTGGTAATCTTCTGGGCACTGGGCCAAGAGAGAGATATATATCTTCATTTTTAGGAAAAGTAATTGTTTTTTCCACAACTTTATCTGGAAGTTTAACTTTTGAGTCATTTACAAACTCTTCATTTGGTGTCACACCATCAGGGTGTTGGCTAATTACATATTCTGGAGTTTCGATCTGGGAAAAAAAAAAGATTACCTGATATTCGAATTACTATTCAAGCTACATAAAAAAAAACATAGTTATCAACTCAGAAGAATATTTCCAAGCATCGAAAATACTAACAATAACTAAAGAATCAGATCCTGAGGCTGTATCTGAATTCTCAAATATTTTATCTGGGGGTAGTGTGCCAAGAGACCGATATTCATCTTCATTTTTAGGAGAAGTTATTGTTTTTTCAACAGCTTTATTTGGAAGTTTGACTTTTGAGTCATCCACAAACACTTCATTTGCTCTCACACCATCAGGGTGTTGGTTAATTACATGGGCTGGAGTTTCGGTCTGGAGAAAAAAAAAGATTACCTAATATTTGAATTACTATTCAAGCTACATAGCTATCAACTTAGAAGAATATTTCTAACCATCGAAAATACTTACAATAGCTGAATAATCAGATTTTGTGTCCATATCAGAATTTTTATCTGGTAATCTTCTGAACACTGGACCAAAGAAGCGATATACATCTTCATTTTTAGAAAAAGTTATTGTTTTTCTCACAGCTTTATTTCGGAGTTTGACTTTTAAGTCATCCACAAACTCTTCATGTGCTCTTACAACATCATCAGGGTCTTGGTGAATTATAGCTTCTGGAAATTCGGCCTGGAGAAAAATAAATTATAACTATACGAATATTTTAAAAAATTGCTGTAGAACAATTAATGATAGAAGAGACGACATGGGATTATTTTGTTTCCCAATTGCCATTTTGGGATTAATGGTTCTTATAGACGGAATGGAGTCAAAGAAAAAAATATAATCAATTCAGAAGAATATTTTCAACTATCGATTATCGTAAATACTTACAATAAGAGAATCAGATCCTGAGTCCGTATCTGAATTTTGAAGTATATTATCTACTAATGATTTGGACACTGGGCTAAGAGTGCCATATATATCTTCATGGTGAGGAAAATTTATTATTTCTTCCAGAGCTTTATCTGTAAATATCAAGTCTCACATTATATGGAAAAACACTCTAGATAAAAATTTTGTTACTTACCCTCCTCTTCGATTTGTTGTGCAACGTTTCCTTGGTCAAGTGAAATAACTTGGTTTTCTAAAAAGTTACGATGTTTGTCATTAACAATAAGTGGATATTTGAATGAAGTAATAGTCGTCAAAAACGATATTTTTTAGAGATTTGATAATCTACATTATATATTTGCACCCCTTAACAGAAGTGTACATTTTTTCTGAGACATTTGGAACTTAATATTCCTCCTTTGTGAATGTGCAAGGTCTATCCCGTAAAATGAACGAAGTCATATTCGAAATCGACAAACTAAAAGTAAAAGTGGCAGTGATAACAGAAACTAAAAAGAAAGGCCAAGGATCGGAAAACCTTGGAAAATACGACCATTTCTACAGTGGCGTACCAAAGGAAAAAAGAGCACAGCAGGGGATCTCGATATTAATCTCTAAGAACCTTCGAAGGTGCATAACATCATGACAACCTATAAGCGAAAGATTAATCAAAATGAACCTGACCTTACACGGAGTGAAAATAACAATAATTGGAGTATATTATGCGGTAAACGACGACACTAGAGTAAATGAAAAGGACGACTTCTTCGAAAATCTACATCAAGACATAAGCCAAATTGGGAAACCACGAGAAATAATAATATTAGGAGACTTGAACGGAAGAACTGGTTTTAAACTCCAAGACAGTGTTGTAGGTCGATTTGGAGAAAATGTTATAAACGACAACGGACACAGAATAATAAACCTATGCGAACAAAATGACCTTAGGATAATGAACGGATTCTACCCACACCGTATGATACACAAATTTACGTGGACTCAAAACACAAGGAATCTTAAATCTATAATAGATTATGTGATTTTGAATCAAAAACCCGCCCTAAGAACATATGATGTCAGAGTCTATAGAAGCGCAACTTGTGGCAGTGACCATTATCTGCTAAATGCAAAAATAGGATTTCCCATACGAACTAAAACAAAACACATCGACCAGCCGGAACAGTGCGATAAAATACAACCAACACGCTACAACCTAGACTGCCTAGAACACGAAAGCACCAGAAATCTTTACGCAAAAAGACTCGATGAAAAACTAAGAGAAGCACCATTCGAAAATAACAACGATCATTATAACCATATTAAAAAATGCTTAAAAGATGCTGCAAATGAAGCTTTGGGTGTTTATGAAAGAAAAACGCAAGGGAAACCGTATTGGTGGGACGAGGACATTGAAAGAGACATTAAAGAAAAAGAGAAATTAATCAAAGATTCTTAACAACAAAGAAACAAGAAGACAAAATTTTATTTAAAGAAGCCCAAGCAAAAGTCAGGAGAAAGATCACACAAAAAAAGAATGAATCTTGGGAAAGAAGATGTAACAATCCAAACATACCTTGGAGGAATAAAAAGCACAGAAAGCTGGAAAATATTAAAGTCACTACGTCAAGAGAGAAAGACAGATATAATATCTCCTATTTCATTACAAAAATGGGACAAATACTTCAGTGAACTATTGATAGAAGATCGAGACAAATTTAGAGAACCCGAACGGAACGGAAATATCATATCTGTTTCAGCCTCTCCCATCAGAATATCCATAAAAGAAGTCAAAGACGTATGCAAAAGCTTAAAAAACAGAAAGGCTCCCGGACCGGGTAACATACCAGCGGAATTATTGAAGTTTGGAACACAAGCACTATACGAACACCTAGAGTTATTCCAAAAATGCATTAATACCGGTGAGATTCTAGAAGAATGGAAAGAGTCCTATCTTACCCCAATACATAAAAAGGGTAGTAAAGATGAATGTGGCAATTACAGGGGCATTGCAGTTACGGGGTCGATAAGTAGATTATACGGTAAGGTACTTAAAACCAGAATAGAACAAGAATTCGCCGTCAACAAAGCCGAAGAACAAGCTAGTGTCCGGGCAGGAAGATCAACAGTTGATCACCTTTTCTGTATAACACAAATTCTAGAGAAAATGTCAGCTGGTTAATAAAGAAGTCCACCTATTATTCGTAGACCTGAAAAAAGCTTACGACAGCGTTCCACTGGTTAAACTGTGGGAAGCCCTGGAGACAACAAACATCAATATACCGATAATTAAAGCCATTAGGGAAATTTACAAAAACTCATTTAAAAATAAAAGTTGGAAACACACTCTCTAACGTTTTCTTCACAAACAAAGGTTTAAAACAAGGTTGTTGTTTGTCTCCTACACTTTTCAAAGATTTTTAGAAAAAGCGTTGCTCCAATGGAAAAGTAAATGTAACATTATGGGTATTCCACTTAACGACAACACCATATATACCCTTAGCTTCGCAGACGATCAAGTGGTAATGGCGCAGGACATTGACGATCTTGAATAATGTGACCAGAAAGCTAGTTGAAGAATACAGCAAATGGGAACTAGAGGTCAACATATCTAAAACCGAATACATGTGCGTCGGCGGACCCCAACAAAATCTGCCACTGGATAATGGTCAAACTATTGAAGGTTGCGGAAATTACAAATATTTGGGAGTGAAGATGTCAAGTAGGGGAACGCTTGATGAAGCTATTAAAGATAGAAATGCCCAAGGAAGAAAAGCAATATCTATGCTAAACAGTGTTGTATGGGACAACCATATATCTAAAACCAATAAACAACGAATATACAACACAATTGTAAAAAGCATTGTCTCCTATGGAAGCGAAGTATGGCAGCTAAAGGATAGAATCGTACGTACCCTCGAAGCTACAGAGATGGATTTCTGGAGGCGTGCTGCAGGAAAATCTAGAGCGGAAAGAATCACTAACAACAGAATTCGAGAAATCATGGGTATAAATAGGACAATCGTTGACGACATAAGAACACAACAGCTAAAATGGTATGGCCACGTGCAAAGAATGTCTAATGAGAGACTGCCAAAACAGATTCTTGATTGGAAGCCAGCAGGAAGACGAAAGAGAGGAAGACCACGAAAAAGCTGGAGAGAGGGGATAGACAATGAGATAAGAGACCGGGGACTTGAAGAGGATCTCTGGCTGGATAGAGATCAATGGCGACTGGACATCGGAAGACGTCGAAGAACGTTTTGAAGCCGATTTGTATATATATTTTAGAAATGGTAGCGATCTCTGAAGAACCTTTATGCCTAAATAAAAGAAAGGACATTCAAGATCTTAGCAGTATATATTCGAACTTACTAACATCTAGGTAATTAATGGCCATTTCCACCAAACTATAACTAAGCTTTGCTTAACTATGAAGCCCTTAAAAATTAAGGGACACTCAAATATAATTTCGTTCCACCATAGTTTTTAAGTGCAAGCTTAGCTAAGTGTCGTAAGGCTTTGGCAACATTGAATTTCAGGTGAAAGATTTGCGTACTTTTGATTTTTACACTAGTCGTGTCAAGTTATCTTGTCATTCGTCGCTTCCCGCTAATTTTTATAAGATTATAATTATTATTAATAGATAGTTGTTATTGTTGTCCGGGTTCGGTTTATTTCACAGAGATTAGATATTGGTAGTTTATCCTGCATTGTGTGTGTACGAGCACAAAGGTGCCTAGAGCAGCGTGGAGTCGGGGAATTGAAACAAACAGGGAGAGCTTTTCCAAAAAAGCTAGGGCTTCGCGAGACCACAAGACTAGTGTTGGTCTGGGTAGCAAGACCAAGACCAAGACCGAGACCAAGACCTGATAAATCTTCTTAGGACCAAGACCAAGACTTGATGTTCAAGACCAAGACCAAGACTCTCCTCAAGACTCTCGTCTTGGTCTTGGTCTTGAAAAAAAAATCGACTCAATATTTATAAAAATATTTTGAAATTCACGAGAAGGTATTATAGGTTTTAAAAATACATACGTACAACATAGTGTAAAGTCTGTTTTTTTTAAAGATAATTCCCCAAGTCAAAAATTTAGTAACTTTGTTGGCAACACAAGCCTTTTCTACATAAAAATTTGAAAGCATTGACAATTTTACATTGTATTGCCAACATAATGTCATTTTGAATTTTATCTTTAAAAAAAAAACAGACTTTAGGTAACATTCATTTACACAGAACACATCGATATTTTCCTATCCCTACATAATACAATAACTAATTATTGGAATTTCCCCCACATCTCACCCAAACTAACCCAAATCTAATTATTGTGAATAGGCCAATGAAATTCAAATGAGGTATGTGAATATGCGAAGGTTTTCGAAAACCTTTCTCTGGCCTGAATGCTGAGGTAGGTAAGGTAGGTTTAATGTATGGTTCAAAAAAAAACTCACAAATTCTAACTTTATATAATAAGTTAAAGTTCAAGTACGAATAAGTGGATTGTTGCGGAACTTATGGGTGGACCTCTGCGGGACGAGCGCAGCGAGTTCCGCAGCTATCTACTTACCAATTTATTGTTGAACTATTCAAATGAGACACTCACCTGAAACTTCTATAGGTAATGAGAATAACTGACATTTGAGCAGGCCCTGCGATCTCTCATTGCCAGTTATAAACCACATAATAACTCTTTTCCGTTTTTCTAGATGTCGCTGACAACCACAGAATTGTCAAAATTGTAAAATACCAGCACATCAAGAACACGTCCGATGTCGATAACTGACATGTCAACATCATATGACAATATGCCAAAATATTCATTTGATCATAACTAATAATTCATAATGTTTTTTGTTCACCGGTCTTGCATTTCATCTTCCTTTGTGTTGTCAAGTGTTCTTAAGTGATTTCAAAGTTGTTTTGTGTGTTTCAAGAAGAAGTTCAAACTTTATAGATTGGAAGATCTATTTTTATCTTTGTTGATTAGATAAATGACAGGTTCAATTATACATCAATCAGAACTTTGAATAAATATGTTAAGGATACCCTTAATCATCGATAAAGAAACTGTCTTTTGATCTAATTAACAAATTATCAATTAATTTAAGTAAACATTAATGCCCCAAAGTCTAGAATAAACGAATTTGAACAGACCGACAGTAATGCGAACAGGGCGCCATCTATCATAAAAAGTCCTATGTAAAGTAGGTGTCTGTAGCATCGATGCAAAACCAGTAAATAGTGATTTTCCGATATGGTAGATGGTACTGGCTTGGCTCAATTTTGTTGACAACAAAATTTACACTGAGATTCCATTCTCGACAGTTTATATAGTATTTATCTCTGCATTTGAGTGAGTCAGGTTAGTATCGTACTTGAACAACGTATTATTGAACGGTACTCGCTGCGCTCGTCCCGCAGAGGTCCACATAAATTCCGCAACAATCCACTCGTTTGTACTTGGATAATTTGTCACAGTATGTTACTAGTTTGGTAAAGTAACATTACTGATTTCTGTTGAAAGGCAAATTGACAAAAAGTGGATAATCTTACAAATTCTGACTTTATTAGTTATTGTTCAAGTACAGGGTGTTTTTTTTATACATTGACAGCCCACCTACCTACAGCCCTCACCTTTACAAGTAGATGAAAGGTACCTACAAAAGTTGTACAGTATTGGCTACATTTTTAGAATCTATGGTCAGAAACCAAAATTGAATGTTAGAAATGTGAAATATTGCATGGTTTCAGCTTTTTTCAAATGGGATGCGCTATATTTGGTTCTATATTCTTGAAGTGCACAATTTCCCGATTCCAAAACTATAAAGTTTGTCTATATTTAGTTGAGCCGAGAAACGAAAAAACCAAGTAATCTGTTTTTTTTTAAAGATAAAAGTGAAAATGATGTTGAGGTGTTGGCAATACAGCTTTCACCTGTATAGGTAGAATGGTTCACAAAATCAGTAGTAGGATAGTATTTTTACAATTTTTGGAGCCGAATATATGAGAGACTGTTCAATCAAATATAGACAAACTATATATTTTTGGAATCGGGGTGCTCTTCAAGAATATAGAACGAAATATTGGGCATCCCATTTAAAAAAAGCTGAAGCATGCAAAATTTCACATTTCTGACATTCAAATTTTGTTTCTGACAATGGTTTCTAAAAATTCAGCCAAAACTGTGCATCTTTTGTACATACACCTTTCTTTTACCTGTAAAGGTAAATGCTGTAGGTGGGGTGTCAATATATAAAAAAACACCCTGTACGTACCTATTCAAAATCACCTTATTCTCCTAAATAGTTCCCCCATTCCCATATTTTTATCGACCATTCCTTCGAAAAACCGTATCTTGCACAATGCGCTGCCAAAACTAACCCAATCTGGCTTACTTTAACTTCAACTGCCCCCTCCCCCTTTCAAAAGGCTTGTATCCACCCCTGCAGAAAGAAGTTGTATTTCGCATTTGTAATGAAAAAGTTTTGCATTCATCGGAAATAAGGCTCTATTCAACAAATTGATAAGACAGAACATATTGTATCTTTAGAGCCTTCCCAAAATAAAACAGCACTTCAAAATCTGAATAAAATCACAACGTAAGATTTCCTGAATACAAATTGATTAATTTGACAACGTGAACGAGTACGAAATTATCATGAAAGTACCAGTGGAAAAAATGGCTCGTTTTCTTAAATTTCATAGGGCATAGGGCATGGTGTGGTATCATTTCACGGCAAACAAAAATCCCTCGCTTAGCCTTAGGAAAAGAAATTAAAAAGTTGTGAAAAAAGAGACAAAAGAGTGAATCAAGGCGGCAAAAAATGCAACGTATCGTGTGGTATCGTTACTCAAGAAAAACCACCCTCTGCGCTATTGTGGAGTTTTAAGCCGTATGACGTCACTAGCATCTAGACCTGTGACGGTACCTGTCTGTACCTGTCTGTGGCGCCACCCGGAATAATATCGTATTGAGGGTGTGTCCCTTTTGTTCTAGGCCGAATTCCCATTTCTAGGAATGAATGACTAAGGAATTTTAGAAGACCACGCACATTGTAGTATAGTGGAATTTTATCAGAATAATAAAAGTTGTCCCTTTTTCTCGGAGGTCTTTGAAAATCCCTTTTTCTTAGAAGAAAAGATAAGAAGACAGAAAACGACTCAACAGATTGAGTTCTGATTCTTTGAGTTTGAAAGTAATTGAGAGCCGTGAACCTATTAATGTCCACTAAATATTTGTCTTGTTTTTTACACTTTTAAATCAACTAATCGATAATCCTAAAAGCGAATTATCACTTTTAAAATCTCGCAAAGCTAATCAAATCTGTAATAAATCACGATTGGATCTTAGTTCGATACATCATTTAGGAAATTTCGTCACCAACATGCGAAATGTTATTGAAAATTTCATTGTAAGGAAAAATCCATAATCACTATTGTTGATATTGATAATAAATAAGTCCATATGCCATAGAATTCGTAAATTTGTATAGGTACTAGTAACATTCAGAAATCAGAAAGCCAATTCAATTTGACATACAAATGAATTTAAAAAAAGTGTATTCTTACTTGAACACGAAGGTCTGATTACAAGATGTTGTAGCACGTTAATTCTAGGATGTAGGCTTAAAGGCGCTCTAGATGAAGCTAAGTCTCCTTCTGATGTTTCATTATTTTCCTTGGAAGAATCTCTAAAAATGAAACGTTTACTTTCAAGCAAGCTAAAATCTATTTGAAGTACCTTCGATCCTTCTTAAGGTTTGGAACTACAAGTTTTTTAAATGAACCTGGAATAAAATAAACAGTAGGTACATTATGTATTTGACAAAAAATTTTATTTTTAGCCGCCCAAATCCATTCATTCCGAACTCGTTTTTCTTTTCTTTGCAACATTGTTGCAGCCCATTTATCAACATCGAATAATGTGTATTGCGAATTAAATTTGAATTGCGACTCCGGGGAGGAATGATGATCGATCGTTTATCATGGCGTATTTTTTGATTGGAACTTGATGTGGTGTCAGTCATGTTACTATAATTGATTGGCTGATTTATAATTAATTTATACAGGTGTGTGTTATTCAAGAAGACAGTACCTAGGTACTACTGAGAAGTATAGATTTCTTATACAAGTTGTTGTTTTTTAGTTTCAATATTTTCAAATTATTTAAGTTCGAATCAATATAACAAACCTCTTCAGGAAGCTATTTTGGACACTCTATGTTAACTATAGATGCTCAAACTTTGGCTCCCATAGAAGGAAAACAGTGAACAGTGATGAAAAGTTTAGTTCATATAGGAATTGACGTTAGAAAATTACACTTTCAACAAATTGAGTGTGAATTTTTCTTTCAAATATAGACCAAACTAGCATTTCACTATTATAATTTTCTAGTTTTCGTCGTCAAACATATAAGCTAATGAAACTGTTTATCAATGTATTAGAGAAAACCTGTGGGGGGTGGCAATAAAAAATATTAAATTCACTAGGAACGTTAATGTAACACAATTGTTTGTTGTCCTAAATATTTCCAGAGACAGAACTAATAATATCCTTATGGGTCTTGATTTAGATAATATTGTTGAATTTCCAGTAATTTTTATTAGAAAATCCTGGCATATCAAAACCAAATCTTCCATTTTATGTTAAATAATATGCTTGTGTAAACTCCACAAATTATTGATTACTTGGCTCAAAGTCAATAACATTAAGATTAACAGATTATTCGATTTTGGATGCCGTGCAGTCTCTCACGTATGCCTTTAAAAAAGTGACGCATTATTGGATAGAAATTTCATTGATCGACCATTGACCAATAAGTTAAAAAGTTCATCCCATCGGAATTTAGATAAATCAAATTCAAATTTGGGTCAATATGGATTGGTTGATACCTAATCAAATCGAAAAGTCAAAGATCTTTGAAAAAATAATTTTTGATGAGGACTTAACATCAATATGGCATAACTTGATAATAATAAGGAAGTGATGATAGGATTTTTGTTTCACAATACAAATATTTCAAGAACTGGATACCAAGATTCCTTTTGTCCGTAAGACTCGCTAAGGACATGTATTATAGTGAACGAATCACAAATTCTTCCAGCACATCCAAAAAATCGTGGAAGATTGTGACTTATTAGGGAAGAATAATAAAAAAGTGGTTATAAGTACCTAAGTTAAAAGTAATGATCTCAACCACTTTTACTGCCCTGTACCGTGGTTTCTATTGTAATGAGTTGAATTTCGTATGTACGAAAAGCGTAATGTCATTCTTTGTGTATTGTGCTCCATACTTTGTTGTTTAATACTTTTGTCTGTTTCTCATGCTTTGGTAAGATTTCTGTTTTTTGTTCTGTCATCTCCTGTTTTGACTGCGAGACATTTTTTTATCTTTAGTATTTAGACTGTATTTTAGTACGGCTTTGTATAATAAAACTTCGACTTAGTATACACTACAAAAAGGATTTTTTTGGTCCTAGTCATTCCGAATAATTTAAATTAATGAAAATTTCTTAGAAGTTTTATCGTGTGTCATATAATTCACAGTTTGTGTAATTTTAGTGTTATGCAGACGTTTCAATTAACATTGATGAAAGACTTGACCGACAAGGTAGAAATGAAACAGGCTCAGTTGGTAGAGCGTTGCACTGGATATGCGAGGGTCCTGGGTTCAAATCCTAGTCGAGGCAAGAAAAATTTCACTATCGGAGACGTTGACCCATTGTGAAAGCAGTGTAGTTTTTTAGGGAAAAACGAGTAGGAAACTATGTTTTTTTTTTCTCACTTACGTACTTGGTAGCGGAAATTATATAAAGCAGACTTCAAGACCCCAACAAGAGCTGAACTAAAGCCTAGAAATGGCGATTTATCCTAGAGCAAAGCTGACGAAAGAATTTGGAGTGCCTGTCGATGCAATCAAAAATAAATTAAAAAGTAGACATAGAAAAAGCTGAAGACCGGATTTGTTCTGATGTCATTAGTATGACATTTTTACAAGCACTCTCAAAATATTCTCACCTCTTGGCCTTTGGTGGGCGTTCATTGCTTCAACACTCCAAATTGGACTCTGAACAACTGGTTTTGCAGCTATTGGTATCAGAGCTATTGGTCCCGGAGCTATTGGTCTCGGAGCTACTGGTTTCGGAGCTATTGGTCTCAGAGCTATTGGTGGTCTCTGAGCTTTTGGTTGAATTGATCTCAGAACTGGTCTCGGATTTGATCCCAGGACTGGTCTCAGAGCTGGTCCTAGAGCTGGTCTCAGATCTGGTCTCATAACTGGTCTCAGATCTTGTCTCGTAACCGGTCTTAGAACCGATCGATTCGCTAACTGAATGAAAATCTGACGAGTGTTGCAATAATTATGTTCTAAAAAGTAAAATGAAAATTGGCCATAAAATTAGTTTTTTTTTTTGGTTATTTGACAGTATGACGAAAAATCTCGCATGCACAACAGGTTGTAGGTATAGTTAAGGCCTCAGACAATAAACTGTAGTTTTGACAATAAAACTGTACACACAACCCTGGGTAATTGTATTATATATTACATTACGACTGTAAAAGGTGACAAATTTCGCACGAGTGCGAAAATAACGGGTGTATAAAAGACGCTTTCTCACAAGTGATGTACACCATTTTTCCTACGACCAGAAACCGATTTACACAAATTTTCTTTTATTTAACTTCTTTTCATTTTCAACACACGTGCTGAAAGTTCTTTCAACCCACGTATTGGAAGTAAATCGAGATGTGAATTACAAATAATGTCAACAGTATTTTCCACACGTGTGCTGAAAGTACTTTTAACACGAGTATTGAAAGTACGTTCGGCACGTGTGTGATATTTAGCGCTTTCCAAGGAACCAACTAGAGAATTTTTTTAAATTTCTGTATGTTGTCGTAGGAAAAAATATTTTCTTCACACATAAAGCCTGTTTTTTTTTTAAAGATAAAAGTCAAAATGACATTATGTTGGCAATACAATGTAAAATTGTCAATGCTTTCAATTTTTTTATGTAGAAAAGGCTTGTGTTGCCAACAAAGTTACTAAATTTTTGACTTGGGGAATTATCTTTAAAAAAAAAACAGACTTTATCATTATTTTTTAATGCGTCTTCATGCGTCAAAATACGAGGTCACAGCCCAAGCCCGTCAGTATTCTTACCTTTCAAAACTTGGGTGCGTGTCCAGGTTTGGACATTCTGATATGGTCGCCATCGTGATTCTAAAAAGCAAAATAAAAATTTAATGAAAATTTATGATTTTTTTCGTAATAATTACAGACTGAAGAAAAATCTCATATTTATCAGAGGTCGTACAGTTCAGGGTCCTGGTTAGCAAACTATATTCTCAACGATAAAACTTTACTCACTGTCACAACCCTCCGTAAATAAATAACTACTATTTTTTTCACAGATTATTAGCTATGTCTGTAACAAAGAAAAAAGGTGCTAGCAAACCTGTTAAAATTGCAAAACGTAATGTGGAGCACTAAAGTAGGCATAATCTTAATCTTGATCCTGAGAAAATGAAAGAAATGGTTTCCAGAAGAATGCTTGAACATTTTTTCATTTCATTGTCAATGCGGAGAAGACCTAATCATGGCTTTATATAGGAAGTGGAGTTTTCTTCAAGGTTATTTTATTTGACCATCATGGAGTATTTCATTTTCCCTTACTTGAATAGTTAAAAGGAATTTGCAAACATAACACTCCAAATGCTGTAAAATCCTTTCAACAGTATTGGAAAGCGTGAACAATTTCTAACAGTCATTCTAATATGTACTATCGTCACCAAAAGTATCTGTGATAAAAACAATTTATATTATTCTCCTGGACTAATTCAACCGTCATTCATTCCAATGCATTTAATTTATAGTTTGACAAATATTTAACACTAAAATTCATATAATAGTACAAGAGCTATCATGATGCTGTCCCAGTTACTTTTGGTGACGATGGTACCTAATTTATTTGATTATTGTTTTTCAATAAAACTTCTCGAAAGTCAAAATATATCCATTTTTAAGGAAAAATATTTCTATCATACCTTAAGTCACATCATTAAAGAACTCGTTTAAACTATAGTATGCTTTACCCGTCAGAAATTTCTTTACTTCTATACGAAGCCTCTTTTCAGTGTTGAGCTTTCTGATTTTTGAAGGGAGTTTATTAAATAATTTTCTGCCTTCATATATGATAGAGCTACGGATGAGTTCTGAGTGGGGGATAGGCAATCTCATCAGGTAATCCTGGCGCGTATTGTATTGACCACTTAGCTCCAATTCGCACTTATACTTCTAGACCGTGAGATAGGGCCTGTTTAGTGGAGTCATTTTTTTTTGTCTGGCATTTTGAGGGATGAATGTGGCTAGTTAGCTGATGAGAATATAGGTGGTTTTAGTGCTTGCCACCTGTTCGCAGGCACTTGTAGCCAGAACATTATGTGGTCAGACAAACCGGCATTGATCGTTACACACTGAATTTCAATCTGATTGAAATTGGTGCAGAAATAGTCCAGTATTGAGGCCAAGAATGCGGAAAAGCGGGTTGGCCGATCCACGTGCATCTTTAAGTTGAACGAGTTCAACAAATTACACAGTAACTGATAAGATCTATTACACTTGTCTAAGAAATTCACGTTGAGATCGCCAGTCAAAATCAACATGGAATTAACCGAAATGTCGCTCAACAAAATTTCCAACCTCTCCAAAAACAACTCTAAATTACCAGATGGAGACCTATAAAAACCGAAAACATACATATTGAGTTTCTTGTAGAACACTATAGAAAACTCAAAATCCTTTTCAACCAACAAATGATCAAACCTATCAACAGTAATGAACATAAACCTAGACAAAAACTCTCTCTCCGTCATGATTAGTGTACCACCATGTGCAAATTGCTTGCGTGAAAATTTAGACATCAACACATAACCAGACACGTCAATGGACTCATCAAACAGCAACCAGTGCTCAACTAGAATCAATACACTAGGAAAATTGACTGATTCCAAAAACAACTCCAATTTATCATCCTTTGAACGCACGGATTGAATATTTAGCAACGCTAGCGTAAAATGATTCTGACGGGAACTGCTACTAAAAAAGGTAATTCACTATCAACGGTGTCTAATTTTTCATCAGATAGAGTGTGCATAATCTTTGTAAAAACACGACTATCTGCAACCAGTCCTATAATCCATCCATCTATCCATAACTCTGCTGAAGATGTTGTATTGTAGACACAAGATCACAATTATTCTGAGCAGGTATATCATATTGAAAAATTAGGGTAGCTTTGCTGCAGAGTAAATTCTACTGGGTTTGCAATTTATGCTAGCCCACTACTGATCATTGATTGATAGGCATTGAAAGTTGTTTTTTTTTTCGCCCAGAACAACATAAGTCCAGACAATTATCATAAAATAAAGAATACAGGGCAACTGTATTAAAAATATACACCTTCTGAAAGAAATATGTTTTCCAGGTCCCAGTCACCTTGTATTAATCAGAACCAGCCTGGATTTCCATTGAACACTGCCTTTGCCGTTCAAAATCGGTTGCGTCACAACATTGGAATTAGGTTAGGTTAGGATAGACAATAGTCATATTTTTTTTGCTGCAACTGAAAGGTTGTATTGTTGCTACTATTAGGCGAGGCCACGTTTTTTTGGACCTTGGGACCTTAAATAATTATTTTCAGTCTCCAACTATTGGATTCTTTCCAATAATTTGGTGATTTTCTCTTTGAGCATCTCCACTTCTTCCCTGACAGTTTTATTCAAATGGCTTTTGACTAAATCCATAACTTGTTCGATTTTTGTTGAATCATCAACATTGTCAGTAGCTGAGATACTACCAGACTCCTCTTTTGCGTCATCTAAAACTGTTGTTAACGTATTAATATCCATAGGAAAATGTGGGTTTGGATGCGACTCAAAACTTTGAGGCTGGATTACATTTTGAGTTTGTGGAGGTTGAAAAATTTATGATTATAGGGTCGAAATTGTTGTTGTTGGTGTATAGGAGGATTCTTACTGTTCGGAAGTTGCTTAGACATTACTTGGGACTCATTTTTCTGAGCAGGATTATGTCCATTCATCGTACTATTCATACTAGCCTGCATTGTAGGTTGCTTAGCATAACTCTGACTCTACATACATGGTATGTATTAGATAAAAATGCAATAAAAAAAAAGATAGTAGCATAAGAAAGCTGGGGTGACAAGTTCTAGTGGAATCAGGAAATAAGTAAAGAAATTCAAAACCGAGATAGATTGTACAAATTAGTAATAATATCCAAAGCAGAACAACATTGGGAAAATTATAAACGAAAAAGAAACCAAGTGGTAACATTACTTAGAAACATAAAGCAAATACACACACTGGCAAAATTAGGGGAACGGACAAAATTTACACTAAGTTTGACATCAATTTTCTCTTGAACCCTCCGCCCGATTTCGATGAATTTTTCACAGATTGTAGCTTGATTCTTCAGGAATACATCTGACGTATTACCGTTATTAAATGATTCGTCTTTATATCATATACAGGGATGGAATTTTTAGAGTTTTTTTAGACACCCTGTGGAGTGAACCACTGGAAATTCAGAACAGTTTTCAACACAAATTGTAGTCTGATCTTTTCCGAACATTTTCATTTTTTATTCACTCTGATATTTTCAATATTATTGAAAATACAGAGTTTCGAAGAAAAGGTGGATATTGACCTTAATTTTCTTCACGTCGACATACGAATTAGATATGAAAATGTGTCGTTTTCCAACTTCAAGTCGTGTGTGTGAATGTTTTACTTCGAGTTAAGTATTGCTCGCAGTTTCACCTCTTACCGATCAATTTATTGTGAAAAAAATGCTCACAAATATACAGGGGGATCAGAAAGTCCCTTTCATGAATTTCATTTGGCGGAATGTTATTAATCTAAATTAAACGCTCCCTTCACACTTAACCAAGGATTAGGACTTTTTCAATCTACCTCTCAACAGACCTCGCCACATTGGTAGGATATTGACGAATTTAATATTATTTGTTCAAGTAAAATCCAGAATTTTCACCTTGACAGCAACCTCAAAAAAAGGATCAAGTTGAAGTTTTTTGTTTTTTTTTATTTGGAAACTTGGGTACCAATGGCTAAAGGAATTACAATAACAATTACTACTTAACGAACAATAACGATTCAAAACAGCGGATCAGAAAAAATGAATCTTTCAATAACGCGCGTGGTCTCCACGCAGTCATTTGCCTCCCCATGCTTCTGATGACATCATCACTCATGCAAGCAGAGCAACTGTTGCTTGATCGCGATTTTGAACTGTAGGAATTCTGGACTTTAATCGTCTCTGGGGAACATGCAGGCCAATCCATTGCTCTTATTCCGACGGTATTCAAAAAGTCTGAGACGCGGCGCGCCACGTGAGGGTGAGCATTGTCGTGCATTAGCAGGAAGTTTTCTCTGATATGGGGGGAGAATGGTACGACATGCTGTTGCAGAACATCTCGTATGTACCTATCCGTCTGCATTTGAAGCGCCATTAACAACCACCAATTCTTTTCGTGCCCCTAAACATATCCCACCCCAGACTATTACTGAACCTCCACCATATAGGAGACAGTAGCAGTGAAATTGAATTGTTCATTTTCTTCTCCTCGGCGGCGATATAATCTTTCCCTGCCATCGATCGAATTTATGCAAAAGCGGCTATCACCTGTAAAAATAACGTTGGTTCAATGGTCATATTCCCAATTTACATGCTCCCAAGCGAAGCGTAGTCTTGTCACTCGATGACGCTGCTGGATTTTTGTTTGTTCTATAGTTCCAATTTCTTTCAGCTTTCTGCTGATGGTTCGATGACTTGTCCCCCTTCCACGTACTTCTTCTAGTTCGTTTTTTATTTGTGGTACTGTTCTACGTCTGTTCCGTAATGTTTGCAAAACAATAAATTTGTCGTCTCTGGCCGTGGTTGACCGTTTTCTACCTTGGCCTCGTCTCCTCACATAATTTACCGTTTGCCTCCAACGTCTTACATTACGATAGATCGTGGATTTTGATTTTCCTAACATGTCAGCAGCATCAGTGTAAGATCGACCATTTTCAATCACCGCTACAGCCCTCGTCACATCAATGGGAGTCCTATCACACATGCAGTGGCGTAGCAAGGTCCTCATGGGCCCGAGCGCAAACCTTTTGATAGGGCCCCCCCACCCCACAAAAAAAAAATATTTTGTGGAGCATCAGGTTGGGTGCGTCGGACCTTCCCCAAAGTCAAGTGATTTTTGTCCAACAAATTTGATGTGATGTCGTTAATGTAATATAGAAAACAGTCGATTGGAATTAAAACTACACGTATTGTCCGTCGTTTTTAATCTGACACTTTCCGTGTTATGAGGACTGAAGAGTGCGGGGCTGAGCTGAAGCATATGGCAACAACAGGTCTGACGTCAGGTGATCATTGGCGTTCTAACGTAGGAAGCCACCTCACATTCCTTTGGAGTATCAGATTCAAAACAACGGACTGTATACATGTATCACCATCACCTTCCTTAGGGACGTCAGAACGACAACTTCACGAAGAGCCAGCGCGAAAATGTTCCCACGCTCAGGTTGAAAATATGAAAGAAATTGTCCGACTTGGTTTTATGAAGCCGGCGCTCAAGGGACCTTATTGGAGCAGCGTTCTCAGGAGAACGAGTGTTCCTTATTTCTCAATGATATGAATGCAATTTTTTGCATGCAAAATTCTTGAAACTTGAATGGCATTGCATGCAATCGGTTTGGTGCCATTTTTTTTGAAGGTTTTCGTGCAAGCTGGGGAATTTTTAGCAATTTTGATTCTTAAAGTTGCTGCTATTGCTTTCTTCTTTTTATATCGACTTATAATCACTTTTTTTTTATTTTTGGAAAATGCAAATATCAACAAACATAACATTAAAAACAAAAAAGTATGGTTAAGATTAGAGAAAGAAATAAGTCAAATTGACGACGTGCAAGAAATCTTGAATGCAATTTTTTTGCATGCAATAAATGGCATTCAAGTTTTCTTGCAAGCTGTAAAACGGCCTTAAGCATCATAATTGCAAAAATTCCCCAGCTTGCACGAAAACCTTCAATAAAAATGGCACCAAACCGATTGCATGCAATGCCATTCAAGTTTCAAGAATCTTGCAGAAACCAATAAGCTGACTCACTTCTGCGCATGCCCTCGTTCAAGTTTCTTACATATTGCAGATAGAATTGCAAGCTGTAAAACGGCCTTTAATCAAATACGTTGCGTCGATTTTAGAAACAAAATTGAAGTTGCTCGACCGTGAGTAGTAACCTGGATTTGAAAAATGAAGCCGTTATTTTCCAGGTATTTTGGCACCAAAAAAATGGCGGTATAGGCAATTCAATGCTTTACCTGTATGTTGGTGCCAAACACCTGCCAAAAACTTGGCTTCACTAGTTTCATAAGCAGAATGGCGCGTTCCTACTCCTTATGTCCGTAGGACAGCGCTTTACCTGCTCTAAGGTTTGTACAATGCGGCCATGCGCCGTTGGGTGTAGGGCGCTTTCGGACCTACGCGGTCGCGTGACGTGTTCCGACCGAGAGCCGAGAAGATGGCATGGAATGCAAAACGGAAACGCAATAAGCTTAGTTCATATACTAAACTCTATTCTCGGTCGGTATGCGAATTTAAATGACGCATTCGACAATTGTCGAATGTTTAAACATGGCAACATCTAATTTTATAGTATTTGGCACGTTTTTGACAACTGTAAAGTGTCACATTTTTTGATCTTTCAAAATAAAAGTGGATTTTTTCTTGAAAAAATATAAGTTGTAGGTCCTATTTTGTGCGTTAAGATTACGATTCGTGGTAAAGTAGTGGAAAATAGAAGAATATATGAAGGTCTTTAAAAAGTGAACATGCTTACATTAGTTTTATTCCTTTCACACCTAGGAGGAGCTCCGGAAGAGCTCCGGCGTTACGCGCTTATTCCTTTCAAAAAGTGTTTGTTGCACCACGCATCTGTTTCTTCCAAATCGGGGCAAACTAACAACGGAGCGAGTAGCTTGGGTGTCCCAAACTCTTGAAAGGAATACAACAATTGGCTTCAATAGAAATTAATGAAGCTCTAGTACTATCCTTTATATAGGGTCGCACCAACTCAATTAAGCCCCATGTTAATCCTTTAGTTAATCGACAGTTTTTCACAGAAAGGCACTGATACATAAAATTGAACGCGTTTCTATACTCATAGAATCTCCTAGGAAATCTATTATTTTCTACTGGAATCGCAAGATTTATGTCGATCAGAAAAAGGCGAAGGCGACATTCGAGAATTGGGTTATGCCAAAAGGTATCGAGATATGCGATTCTCGTACGCGACATTGGAAAATCGTAATTCGAGAATTGGGCCCCTGAATCATTATTCGCTTTCCACAATTCGCGATTCGCAAGTATATGCACTAAGCTTCAATGAGGGATTTTTGCAGATTTTTTTTTGATTTTAAGAAAGGGGCCCTGCGGGGCCCCCCATGTTCCGGGGCCCCAGCGCTTCGCGCACCCCCGCTCATCGATAGCTACGCCACTGCACCCATGTTGGATTTCTATCAATTAAAATTAAATACGAATGTTGACTTTCGCTTGACTTTAACTTGACAATAACCAACGACAGAAACAAAATTGTATTCGTAAACGTAATTTTTCCTGTTCAAATAAGATTAAATTCGTCAATATCCTACCGATGTAATCCGGTTACACGGTTACACAATCCTTGTTGACAGAAAAGCATAACTCTGGATTTTCAAAACCACCAGCGATGATCAGAGTTTCTTCTATTTGTCAGTTAAATGTTCCAAAATATAACCGGTTACAAATTTCAATAGGGATTCTTTATTTTCTGACAAT